GTCTTCCTCCCTGCGGAGCTACCAGAGACCTCCATTCTGGGTACATCTTCCTGGAAGCAAGAGCCGGTTCTGGCTCAGCTGAGACCTTTGTCCTCGTTGCCAGATATTGTTGTGCTGCCGGGTTCATCCTCCCCTTCTGTTCTGGAGGACCGGAAGGTGTACCAGGACCTTTTACTCTGTGTAGCCACATCCCTGGGCATGCAGGTGGAGTTTCTCCAAGAGAACACACACAAACTGGTGGACATTTTAAGCCTGCCATCCCCAGGAGAGTGGCACTCCCGATCAATGATGTGCTCCTTGAGCTGAGGAGAGTCCTGTGGAGTATACCGACATCGGTACTGCTGGTGGCTAAGTGCATGGAAAAGCACTACTTGGTTCCCATGCAGGGATTTGAGGAGCTTTATTGCCACACAGACCCAAATTCCCTGGTCGTAATGGTGGTAAACAACAGGACCCAGCAGGGTAGATTCAAGTTTACCCCCAAGGACAGAGACTCCAAGCTGTGGATTTTCTGGGCAGGAAGATCCGTACCTTGTTGTTCCTACACGTGAGGATCGCCAATCAACAGGTTTTGCTGGGCAAGTCTGATTTTGTCAATTGGTCAGCCGTGGCTAAATTCGAGGACTAGTTGCCTGAGGCCTCATGTGAGAAGTTCCGGGCATTCATTGCAGAAGGCTGTTTGGTGGCCAGAATGTCCCTTCAGTCTGCCCTTGATGGGGCAGACACCTCGGCCAGAGTCATGGCCTCGGCAGTAACTATGAAAGAAGACTTCCTGGCTGCAAAACTCTGGGACCACTCTGGACATCCAGCAAGCCATCGAGGACTTACCCTTTGACCGCCACATCTTGTTCTTGGACAAGACGGATGACACTTTGCACTCCTTCAAGGATTCCATGGCTGCTTTGAGGTCCTTGGGAGTGTACATGCTGTCTGCACAAAGATGCCACTATGGGGTGCAGCAACAGCAACAGTATTGTCCACAGCACTCCTTTCCCTCTGAAACAGCAGGACTACCCTAGAAAGAGGGATAGAGCCCACAAGAGGAAGCAGTTGGGCTCAGGCTTCAGACAGTCCACATGTCCTCCCTCAGTGCAGGCTTTTGAATCTGTAGTCCAGAGCATTGGTCCAGTCACTACCCCACCCTTTCCATCCCCTTTTACAATGCTTGGGACTTGATTACCTCCAGCAGCTGGGTCCTAGACAATATCAGATCAGGCTACGCAATCCAGTTCACCTCCATGCCCCCTTCCCACATCCCTTCTGTCCTCTGCAGGGACCTCTCTCACCTCCTCATCAAACAGGTCAGCTCTCTGTTGAAGATGGGAGTGGTGGAGGAGGTTCTTCCGGAACACCGGGGGCACAGTTTTTACTTCCAGTACTTCCTGATACTGAAATTCAAGGGCAGGATCTCAACCTTTGTGGCCTCAACAAATTCATCAAGTACGTGAGATTCTGCAGGGTCATTCTATTGGCTATTCTCCTGCATGGTCTCAGAATAACTGGTTCACTGCTCTGGACCTTCAGGGCACTTACTTTCATGTGGGAATTCTACTGAACCACAGGAAGTTTCTGTGTTTTGTGATAGAAAAATGCCACTTTCACTATACGGTTCTCCCATTCAGGCTCTCTTCTGGCCCCTGAGTCTTTACCAAATGCATGGTGTTGGTCATGGCATATCTCAGGAGGAAGGGAGTTACCATACCTTGATGACTGGTTGCTGAAGGGAAGCTCCAGAGAGGAGGTTCTTGCCCACATTGACACCACGTTGGGTTTGCTCAACCGTCTGGGACTCATTTTAAAACACTGCAAAGTCAACCTTGGCTCCCACTCAAAAAATCGAGTTCATCGGGGCCCTGTTAGATTCCATGAGGATGAGGGCGTTCTTGCCAACCGAGGCAATTCAACGGCTCTGCCTCAGTGTGCAATATCAGCCTTCCATGATAGTCCACGTATGTCTGAGCCTATTGGGCCATATGTCCGCTTGCATGCAAGTGGTCCAGTTCACCAGGTTGTGCCTTTGCCTTCTTCAGATGTTGCTCAGGATGGTCTACTGTCCTGCCTTACATTCTCTAGACAGGTTGCTTCACCTTCCTCCAGCAGTCCTGGATTTCTTGCACTGGTGGAAGTACACTTGCAACGTGTTCCAAGAAGTCCCCTTCATGAGGCCCTCCCCGACCAAGTCTGTTGTTACTGACACTTCCCTTCTGGGTTGGGGAACATATCTGGACTCATTGAGGGTGCAGGGCCTGTGGTTGGAACAGGAAACCTCACTCCATATCAATGTGTTGGAACTTTGGGCCATCCACAATGCATATTGTACCTTCTGAGATCACATCAGACACACACTGGTTCACATACTCCCTGACAATACCACCGCAATGTACTATGTGAACAAGCGAGGGTGGGGGGGCATATTCCAGGTTACTCTGCCTGGAGGCGATCAACCTGTGGCAATTTTGCATTGAAGGAGACATCACTCCAGTAGCAACCCATTTGCCAGGGGAGCATAATCGTCTTAATGGACCATCTCAGCAGGGTTTTCTCCCTGAGCCATGAGTGGTCTCTGAAGGAGAGTGGTCTCTGGGCTGTCTTTGCAACATGGGGTATCCCCAGGATCAACCATGTTTTGATGAGGAAAAACAGGAAGTGTTGGCTATTCTGCTCTCGAGGGGGCCTCCACCCAGGCTCCTTCCAACATTTTCCACTGCAGCTGGTGATTGACTTCTGTATGCTTTCCACCTATTCCGGTTATTCCTCAGGTCATCCTCAAGCTCAAAGCAATTTGGGCCAAGCTCATCCTCGTTGCTCCAGCATGGCTGAGGCAGTGCTGGTTCTCAGATCTCCTTGCTCTGTCAATTCAACCTCCCATACCACCTTCCTCTCCATCCCGACCGGTTTGCTCAGAACCACGGCCGCACCCTCCATCCTGCGATCAGCTCCCTGCACGTCATGGCTAAATTAAGAGGAAAAACAGTGCTTGGATGCTGTCCAACAAGTCCTACTCAACAGTAGGAAATCTCCAGTAGGACGACCTACTTAGCTAAATGGAAGTGGTTCTTGGTGGGGTCCTTGGCTTACGGGACCCATCTGGCGGAGACTTCCATCCAGGACATTTTGGAGTACCTGTTACATTTTCAGAAATTGGGCCTGCCCTCAGTTCACTGAGAGTGCACTTGGCAGCAATATCAACGTTCCATCCCCCGATTCAAGGGAAGTCAGTTTTTTCCAATGCCATGGCAACACTTCATCCTCCAAGGATAAGGTAACGCTGTGACCACAGCCAAAGTTTTTATCCAAGGTGGTCTCTGTTTCATCTGAATCAGGTAGTGTGCCTGACCTCCAGAATATGGAAATGTCTAGCCTTTTATCTAGACAGAACTAAACAGTGTTGTGTTTCGCCTCACCTGCTTGTGTCATATGCAGACCTCGAGAAGGGGCAAGCAGTCTCTGCAAAGACCATCTCTAGATGAATAAAATCCTGTATCAGGGCTGCGTGTGAGAGAACTTCAGCTGCACCTCCTCAGCGGATATGGCTCATCCAGGAGAGCACAGGCAACATCAATAGTGTTCCCCAGTGACATTTCCATACTGGACATTTGCAGGGCCACCACATGGTCATCCGTACATGCATTTATGGACCACTGTGCTATTTCCTCTTCTTCTTTCAGAGCAAGCACAGGCCTCAGAAGAGTGATCCTGTGATCTTTATTTCAGTAGACTCGGAGCCCGGCTCCAGATTGGGGTACTGCTTGTGAGTCACCCTAAGCAGAATACATGTCTGCATCTAGTCGAAGAAAAAATGGTTACTTACTGTAATTGTGCTGCTTCGTGATGCAGACACGTATTCCATGACCCACCCTCCATCCCCTCTGCATCGGAGTCTCCTCTCCTGGGATTTCAGTGTGAAGGAATTAAGGGAGGTCAGGGCAGTAATGCCTCATATAGCCAGGGCAGGAGTCACAGCCGTGAGTGCCACTCCTCTACGGGTACTACTAGGCAAAAGGCTCTGGCTTTGGTGTGCTGGGTGTAAGAGGAATACACGTCTGCATCACATCTTGAAGAACCAGTTACAGTCAGTAACCTTTTCTTATTGGGAGTTGGCAGAGAGGAACTAACCAGCTTGAGCCCTGCGCTTGGGACTTGCTGAACATCTTACCTGAACAATCTCCATATGGCAGGAAATTCTGCTGAGCCATACAGAAATTCTTTTGTTTTTCAAATGTCAGTAATTGCATGCGCCTTGCATTTCCAGTGACTAATTTTTCTAACTTCACAGGTAACCACTAAGAACATTGGAATTTTAGATTTTGAGGGTTGAACCACTTAGTTTATTTCAGTCTGTAAAAGCCTAGTGCTAGGGAGCTCTTTGAGTGCAGAGACTATGTGCCCATGTCTCTCCCTGGTCTGTGTCTAGTGAATCATGAGCAACATTCTGTCCTCCCCTTACAAATGGCTTTTCCTTCCTGGTCCTGGTAGCTGAGTACACCTTCTAACCCAAAATGCTTGTTGTGCCCCATCCTAACCTTTAGCCTTTAGCACTGGTTAGCTGGGGAATTACTGCACATGGGAATTTTGACCATGTCCTTTTCCCCATGCTGCACAGTGGTTAGTGGGAGGAAGTGCCTCCTTGGCATCCTCCCCAGAGAATCAGCCAGACTCAGAGAGAGAGCAGGTGAGTGCAGTCATGCCAGGTGACCAGGGAAAGCGTTTTCCTTGGTGATCTGTAGCAGCAGTTCCCCCTACCCCACCATTTTCTCTTCTTAGTGAAAATGAGCAGGATGCCTCCCATCTCTTCCCCCTCCATTATGAACAAATGCTGTTACATGGTGCTCCCTGCTTTTTGTCCCCAAACTGCTGCTGGAGCCATTTGGCTACAGTTAGAGCCTCAAGTGGGAGGGGAAACATTAAACAAGATAGGCAGACAGCCGACAATTATGTCTTTCATCTCCTAACTTCCTCTTTACTAACCTCAACCCCCTTCCATTTCTTGTTGGCTGAAGCAGTGCTCCTCCCCCCTGCAGGACAACATTCCCATAGCCCAGCGCCGCCGCTTTACCCGTGTAGAGATGGCCCGTGTCCTGATGGAGCGCAACCAGTACAAAGAGAGGCTAATGGAGCTACAGGAAGCGGTCAGGTGGACAGAGATGATCAGGTGAGGCTGGGAGTTCCTGTACAAGAGGGTTGGGGCACAATCTGGTTACATATTTGGCTTGTAGGTCGGACCTTACAATTTGTGGGGCCCAAATAAAGAAATTAGGTTGTGAATTGCTGAAGGTTCTCAGAACATAGCGAGGTCTCTGATGCTTAAAACCTGCTCTTTTGGTTCCTGTAGCTGGGGCTGGGGCTGAGAATGAGTGTATGAGTTGTCAAAGATACATGGAGGCCCTGAGTGGTTTTGTTTAAGATTGGTCCTGCTGGCTAAGGTGAATCTTGCAGAGTTCCCTGTATGTGCCATATAACATGGGAAATGAGGAGTAAAGATGGCCCCTAATGGTTTCAGAGTAGCAGCCGTGTTAGTCTCTATCCACAAAAAGAACAGGAGTACTTGTGGCATCTTAGAGACTAACAGATTTATTTGAGCATAAGCTTTTGTGGGCTACAGCCGACTTCATCAGATGCATGCAGTGGAAAATACAGTAGAACTATTTTATATACACAGGGAACATGAAACAGTGGGTGTTACCATACACACTATAACGAGAGTGATCAGTTAAGGTGAGCTATTACCAGCAGGAGAGAAAAAAAGCCTTTTGTAGTGATAATCAAGATGGGCCATTCCCAGCAGTTGACAAGAACGTGTGAGGAACAGTGGGGCGGGGGGGGGATAAACATGGGGAAATAATTTTACTTTGTGTAATGACACATCCACTCCCAGTCTGTATTCAAGCCTAATGTAATGGTGTCCAGTTTGCAAATTAATTCCAATTCAGCAGTCTCTCGTGGGAGTCTGTTTTTGAAGTTATTTTGTTGTAATATTGCGACTTTTAGGTCTGTAATCGAGTGACCAGAAAGATTGAAGTGTTCTCCGACTGGTTTTTGAATTTTATAATTCTTGATGTCTGATTTGTGTCCATTTATTCTTTTATGTAGAGACTGTCCGGTTTGGCCAATGTACATGACAGAGGGGCATTGCTGGCACATGATGGCATATATCACATTGATAGATGCGCAGGTGAACGAGCCTCTGATAGTGGCTGATGTGATTAGGCCCTGTGATGGTGTCCCCTGAATAGATATGTGGACACAGTTGGCAACAAGCTTTGTTGCAAGGATGGTTTCCTGGGTTAGTGTTTTTGTTGTGTGGTGTGTGGTTGCTGGTGAGTATTTGCTTCAGGTTAGGGAGCTGTCTGTAAGCAAGGACTGGCCTGTCTCCCAATATCGGTGAGAGTGATGGGTCGTCCCTCAGGATAGGTTGTAGATCCTTGATGATGCACTGGAGAGGTTTTAGTTGGGGGCTGAAGGTGACGGCTAGTGGCGTTCTTTTACTTTCTTTGTTGGGCTTGTCCCATAGTAGGTGACTTCTGGGTACTCTTCTGGCTCTGTCAATCTGTTTCTTCACTTCAGCAGGTGGGTATTGTAGTTGTAAGAATGCTTGATAGAGCTCTTGTAGGTGTTTGTCTCTGTCTACATGCCTCCAGTTTTCATCCAGACCACACCACACGATCCATTGTCTACAGCCAAGCTCTACGATACAACCGCATTTGCACCAACCCCTCAGACAGAGACAAACACCTACAAGATCTCTATCAAGCGTTCTTACAAATACAGTACCCACCTGCTGAAGTGAAGAAACAGATTGACAGAGCCAGAAGAGTACCCAGAAGTCACCTACTATGGGACAAGCCCAACAGAACGCCACTAGCCATCACCTTCAGCCCCCAACTAAAACCTCTCCAGCTCATCATCAAGGATCTACAACTTATCCTGAAGGATGACCCATCACTCTCACAGATCCTGGGAGACAGGCCAGTCCTTGCTTGTAGACAGCCCCCCAACCTGCTTGTAGACAGCCCCCCAACCTGTGGTGTGTGGTTGCTTACTCACCAGCAACCACACACCACACAACAAAAACACTAACCCAGGAACCTATCCTTGCAACAAAGCCCATTGCCATCCGTGTCCACATATCTATTCAGGGGACACCATCACAGGGCCTAATCACATCAGCCACACCATCAGAGGCTCGTTCACCTGTGCATCTACCAATTTGATATATGCCATCATGTGCCAGCAGTGCCCGTCTGCCATGTACATTGGCCAAACCAGACAGTCTCTACGTAAAAGAATAAATAGACACAAATCAGACGTCAAGAATTATAACATTCAAAAACCAGTTGGAGAACACTTCAATCTCTCTGGTCACTCGATTACAGATGTAGAAGTCGCAATATTACAACAAAAATACTTCAAAAACAGACTTCAACGAGAGACTGCTGAATTGGAATTAATTTGCAAACTGGACACCATTACATTAGGCTTGAATACAGACTGGGAGTGGATGTGACATTACACAAAGTAAAACTATCCCCCCCCCCCACACACACACACACACACTGTTCCTCGCACGTTCTTGTCAACTGCTGGAAATGGCCCATCTTGATTTTCACTACAAAAGGTTTTTTTTCTCTCCTGCTGGTAATAGCTCACCTTACCTGATCACTCTCGTTACAGTGTGTATGGTAACACCCATTGTTTCATGTTCTCTGTGTATATAAAATCATCCTACTGTATTTTCCACTGCATGCATCCAATGAAGTGGGCTATAGCCCACGAAAGCTTATGCTCAAAAAATTTGTTAGTCTCTAAGGTGCACAAGTCCTCCTGTTCTTTTTTCCCTAATTTAATGAATCTCTGTGACTGCAGCTAAAAATGAAAAATAATATCTGAGCCCCCAGTTACCAGGGGCTGACTGTGGCCCTGGTAGTGATTTGAGCTGATACCACTGATACCACTTTAAATTGACAGCATTTGTTTCCACATCATACACACATAGAGACACAGTCTACTCCAGTCTCCTTTCATTACTCAAGATGGCTGTACCTCAGCTCCTTTTGTTCATGTCATCCTTCGAATCATGTTGCCAGAAGAAATTCTTGAATGGAGGACTCCAAGTCTGCCTCCTCCCCTCTTTGCCCCTGGAGCCAACCAGCTGCCCTGAAGCTGGGTAAAAAGGGAAACATCTCCTTAGTATGATGCTGAAATTAATGGTTGTCTGAAACATTTGTCCTCAGAGCTTCCCGGGAGCACCCATCTGTCCAGGAGAAGAAGAAGTCCACTATTTGGCAATTGTAAGTTACTGGATGGTCTGTGAAGACTTAAAAGAGGATAGTGTTGCTGTTACTATTTTAGGCACCAGCCTGATAGCACGAGAAGCAGAATCAAAGTAGAGATGAGCCAAAAATGTAAGCTGTTATCTGAACCACTATACCCCAAAAACCTCATTGGTCCAGGTAAAATGTAAATCAAATCTAAACTACATATGGCTTTTGTTTTACAAATCCTGTGGAGATTACTTACAACTGGGACTGGAGAGGTGTAATGGACTCTCACACATGTACTCACAATCAGTTTACAGCAAGGGACAGTAATCATAATATAACTGATTCAGAACAGGGTAGCCTCCACTGGTGAAAACAAACACAGACACAAACCCATCTGTAGTGCTAAGGATCACTGCACTCAAACCTGGGCAATTCCATGGAAGGATTTTCAGGACTCCTGTTCTTGTGCTTGTTTCTTCCATATCTTGAATCTGTGTTGCAGATTGTCCTTCTGCTCTTCTCATTCCTTATTTGTTGGCTTCTCTCCATTCCCAGCTTTAGTCGCCTGTTCAGCTCTTCCTCCAGTCCCCCGCCTGCGAAGAGGAACTACCCATCGATGAACATCCACTATAAGTCTCCAACAGCAGCTGGGTTCAGTCAACGCCGCAGCCATACCATGTGCCAGATCTCTTCTGGCAGCCGCACCCTCGAATTCTTCCCTGAAGAGTGAGTCACCTGCTATGAGCAAAGCCAGATCCCTCTGCAGATCAGCCAAGTGGCAACCAAATTGTTTTAAAATGGGCTTTTTCTCAGAGGACTGTGGCTTAAATGGTACATTAATCAGTTTAATGAAGAAGATGGATCCCCTGCCTGTGTTATCTGTTAAGGACAGTGTTTAATTCTGTACTTAGCTGTGGAATCTCGCCAGGCTCTTGTGTATATCCACCTGACCTTTCACCCCTCACTTCTCCCTGGGGCAGGCTCAGCAGATTAGCAGTATGCGCTCTATCTTCCCAAATGTGTTTTTGGTTTTATCTTGTGCTCCGTAGGCCATGATGAGATTTCATCTAGATGAGCCAGGAGCAAAGTGACCCTGCTGTGATTCAGTTGCCCACCAGCTCTGGATCAAGTCCTGAACACCATTGGCTGCACTGGCTATGTGGGAGGATGAAGAAGGGCTTTGGTAGAGATACTGAGGACTCCACCAGCAGCCTCTTTCCTCTGTCCCCTCCAGGGCTCAACTGTAGACTCCTGGGTGCTTTCTCAGCAGCACTGCCCAGGCTACAGTATTTGATTTTAACACTTACAGTGCTGGAAGAGGGCCACTCAGCTGTTGCTGCTGCAGAATTGCCCCCTCCCCCTTTGTGCCTCTGCTACAGTTGACTTTTAATTCTTTGTTTATATTGCATGTGGTCTGTGATTTTCAGCTTTTAGTTTTTGAGGAGTTGTGTTTTGTGGAAGGAGTTTGGATTATGTGACAGTAGAATGCTGTTCCCTATGCAGCTTTGCAAGGGAGTTGTTGGAAGGGCACTGGATCAGGAATGGAAGAGGTTATCTCTAGACTGTGAAGCTCTAGACCTTTTGCACTCTGTTCAATTTCTCTTTCATACACTTTATCCAGCAATTGGCCTGCGACATCTGCTCTGTTGGGTGGACTGTATCCTGGTCTTAATGACTGAACCATGTTAACGAAGTGTGGGTTCTCATATTGTGGACTGCAGAGTAGGTCATGACCCCATTTTAATAGGATCGCCAGGTCCAGCATTAGACTTGTTGGAACCTGGGGCTGAAGCTGAAGCCCAAGTTTCACCCTCACCTGGGATGGCGGGGCTTGGGCAACAGCCCCCTCTCCCCATATCCATGATGGCAGGGCTCAGGCTGTGCATCCCCTACCCCCCGAGGTCATATACCGACTTAGTTGTCAGAATGGGGTTAGTGGTGCAATGATGTTTGAGAACCTATCACGGGGCGCAGACTCACCGGCAGCGCCTCCTGCTGGTTGTCTCAGGGAGTTAGCGTTCCAGCCTCCAGAGCACCCTCTTCAGGCCAGTGTCTCGCCTTGCTGCTGGCTCCCGTGTCCCTCCCAGGACCCCGGTGCCCCTTTCACTGGGTGCTGCCCCCTGGCAGTACCCCACAGTTCTGGGTCTCCCCCTCCCAGGGGAACCCCCCACCCACTATCCCTACCTCACCTCAGTCATAGGCTCCTGCCAGTCACCAGCTAGCCCCCACGCCCTAGGGCAGACTGCAGTATGAGCCACTCATTACAGGCAAGGCTGGGTTTGGACCTGCTGCCTCTGCCTACTCGTGGCTGCCCCTGCAACACCCGTACCTGATAGGCCTTCCCAGGCCTACAGCCGGGGGCTTTCCTAGGCCAGAGCTCCCTGGCTCCCTTGGCCTTTCCCCAGCCCTGCTCCAAACTATTCCAGTCTCTGCAGTCAGGTCCCTCCCTCTCAGAGCTAGAGAGAGAGTGTTCTCTGGACCTCTGGCTCACAGCCTTTATTAGAGCCAGCTGGGCCCTGACTGGGGCGTGGCCCCCAGCTGAGGCTGCTTCCCCAATCAGCCCCGTTGCCTTTCTTCTGCAACAGTCCTCTCTCAGGGCTGTTTTAAACCCCTCTGGGCCCGAGCAGGGTGTCCACCCCGCTACAGAACCCCTTTGCTATGTTATAGATTCCTGTTAGTTTCATGCTGTCCAGAGTGTTCTTTTGCTGCTTTTGTTTGTACATTGGAATGATAAAAACAGCCCATTGAGAGTTGAGACTGATGTTCAAAAAGCCTCTATTATTAGTAAAATATAGCCAAAGACCAAATTTTGCCCTGTTATGCCAGTGTAAATCAGGAGTTACTCCACTGGAGTCAATGGAATTTCCCAGATTTACATCTGTGTGATTAAGATCACAATTTGGGCTTCAGTAAACAGTGTGATGTGCTGTCTCAGGGGAGACCCATATGAGAGGGTGACCGCCAGCATGGATTTGATTTAAATCAAATTGATTTAAATCATGATTTAAATCATTAGTCAGGAAGACTTGATTTAATCATGGATTTCTACATAAAAGTGCATTCTTGTTGGTTGTTATAACCTTAATATAAATTCTTCACAACTCAGAGATGAATGTAGGTTTCATTTTTAGAAGGTACACACTTTACATTTTTAAGTGATTTATTTTGAAAACTTTTCAGATTAGTTTTACAGCTATATCAGAAAAGGAATGATTGTTTGGTTATTTCATTTACCAAAGGTAATTGAAGCAGATATTGATGAAGTGATTGGGAGATAAACTATCTCCAATTCAACAGGTTAATCATTAATATTTGGAGGATTTTTTTGCCATGCTGTATTAGGAGGAGACCATTACCAGACAGACATTTAAATTGTTTTATTTAACTAAAACAACAACGTTATGTATTGAAGAAAAAAATCCAGAACAGCAAACATATAATATTTTAACAAAACAAACATGAATTTTTTATTTAAACATTCAAGTTTTTTTTAAATCAGGTTTGTTTTTGTTCACGTTATTTTTAACTAAAATAGTTAAATGAAATTTAAAAAAAAAATTAAATCGACTGTGTCAGTCAGGTCAACATGAGAAACTTAAAATATTGGCTTCTCCAGCTAACTCAGTCGTCTTCACCTTCATTTTCCTGTTTGTTCATAATCTGGAAAAGAAAAACAAGCTTTCCTGCTATTTCAGGTCCCAAATGATTTCTCAATTTGGAATGACTAGTCCAAAGGAAGAACATATTCTTTTTTACAGCGGCAGAAGAAGCTACTGCTGTTAAAAGTGAGATAATCACTTCAACAGTCTCTGAATCCAAGTGCTTAAGTGACTTCCACCAGTTCACTGATGTGACTTTCTTTAAACATCATCAGCAAACATATATTTCTTGAATGGTTCACCCTTAGCTCTGAAGTTTATTATAATTGGCATTATGGAGGGATGATTGCTGGATGTCCATGTCATAGCCAACTCCTCTTCTTCAGCAGTTAAGGTTTGACCCCATTACCGAATATTGGGAATATTTGCAAGAAAATGAGCTGGAGATAGTGCTTGTCCATTTGTTTTTTTAATGCTTGTAATTGAACTCTGTCATTGCATATTTCTCTTTTTAAGATCTCACTCAGTTCCTTCCAAATTTCAGCAGCGTCATCAATAAAACAGCTGTTTCCCTGCATTTTCTTCAAGGCTACAGAAATAGGCTTCAGGGCACTCAGCATGTGTTCAACATTTCTCTTAAGCCCCATGTTGAGAACTTTGGCTGTGACAGTGCCAGCTATTTTTTCACGATTTTGTTCACAAACTGTCATCAGATTAGGCCAGTTCTTTATATAGTGCTCAAAACAGTCCACTTCTGAGATCCATCGCACGCCTTGTGGGAGAGTTAGCTTGGTTCCTCCCACTTTTTTCAGAGCAGCTGCTGCAAAGTGATTGTTATGGAAGTACTTTGCCATTTCAACAACATTAGCCTTTATTTCTGGAACACTGACGTCTTTGGCTAGGAGGTAAATCAAATGAGCACTGCAACCATGTGTTATTAGCTTTGGACTCTCTTCTAAATAATTTCTTCTCATCTTGGATTCATTTGCAGCATTGTCTGTGACCAAGCTGCATACTAGACATTTGATTTTTTTTTCAGTTTGTTATAGCTTTTACTGCTACATCTTGTAAGTATTCTGCTGTGTGTGCATTTCCTGATGTATCAATTGTTTCTGTAAGGAAGACATTCCCTTCTTCTGTTGTCACACAAGCACATATAACAGGATCATTGTGGACATTTCTCCACTCATCAAGACTCAGGTTAACAATCTTACCCTCTAGACCTTTTGCACACTACTCAGTTTCTCTTTCATACACTTTAACCAGCAATTGGCCTGCGACATCTGCTCTGTTGGGAGGACTGTATCCTGACTGAACCATGTTAATGAAGTGTGGATTCTCAATCATATCATAGAATATCAGGGTTGGAAGGGACCTCAGGAGGTCATCTAGTCCAACCCCCTGCTCAAAGCAGGACCAATCCCCAATTAAATCATCCCAGCCAGGGCTTTGTCACGCCTGACCTTAAAAACTTCTAAGGAAGGAGATTCTACCACCTCCCTAGGTAACGCATTCCAGTGTTTCACCACCCTCCTAGTGAAAAAGTTTTTCCTAATATCCAATCTAAACCTCCCCCACTGCAACTTGAGACCATTACTCCTTGTCCTGTCATCTTCTACCACTGAGAATAGTCTAGAACCATTCTCTTTGGAACCACCTCTCAGGTAGTTGAAAGCAGCTATCAAATCCCCCCTCATTCTTCTCTTCTGCAGACTAAACAATCCCAGTTCCCTCAGCCTCTCCTCATAAGTCATGTGTTCCAGACCCCTAATCATTTTTGTTGCCCTTCGCTGGACTCTCTCCAATTTTTCCACATCCTTCTTGTAGTGTGGGGCCCAAAACTGGACACAGTACTCCAGATGAGGCCTCACCAATGTCGAATAGAGGGGAACGATCACGTCCCTTGATCTGCTGGCTATGCCCCTACTTATACATCCCAAAATGCCATTGGCCTTCTTGGCAACAAGGGCACACTGTTGACTCATATCCAGCTTCTCGTCCACTGTCACCCCTAGGTCCTTTTCCGCAGAACTGCTGCCTAGCCATTCGGTCCCTAGTCTGTAGCTGTGCATTGGATTCTTCCGTCCTGAGTGCAGGACCCTGAACTTATCCTTGTTGAACCTCATCAGATTTCTTTTGGCCCAATCCTCCAATTTGTCTAGGTCCCTCTGTATCCTATCCCTGCCCTCCAGCGTATCTACCACTCCTCCCAGTTTAGTATCATCCGCAAATTTGCTGAGAGTGCAATCCACACCATCCTCCAGATCATTTATGAAGATACTGAACAAAACCAGCCCCAGGACCGACCCCTGGGGCACTCCACTTGATACTGGCTGCCATCTAGACATGGAGCCATTGATCACTACCCGTTGAGCCCGACAATCTAGCCAACTTTCTACCCACCTTATAGTGCATTCATCCAGCCCATACTTCTTTAACTTGCTGACAAGAATACTGTGGGAGACCGTGTCAAAAGCTTTGCTAAAGTCAAGAAACAATACATCCACTGCATTCCCTTCATCCACAGAACCGGTAATCTCATCATAGAAGGCGATTAGATTAGTCATGCATGACCTTCCCTTGGTGAATCCATGCTGACTGTTCCTGATCACTTTCCTCTCATGTAAGTGCTTCAGGATTGATTCCTTGAGGACCTGCTCCATGATATGGAAAGGAGAGTTTGTAGCATTAACAAACTGGGCAATTTTTAATCAATTAACTCTTTTTGTAATCTGCTGGTTCTTATCACAAACTTATCTATGGTTGTTTCTGGATGATGGAGGGTGTTTTTTTTTGCTGCAGGTGATATACTGTGGCTATGTGACATACATGATGTGACTGAAACACTATCATTGGCAGATAACTCTGAAACTATAGAAAATGATGGTGATCTTGAAGGTGGATAATCTTCAGACCAAATAAGTCAATGCAGTTAGTTAATTATTATTACCGTACTGTTCCTTTAGTATTATTCATTGCATTCACTGACACTCAGTACTACTTTAAAGGTGAAATTGTAAAAGGAAAATCTGCCTATTTCAGCTATTTATTTTTTATCACAACTGCATCTAAAATCATTGTACCATAGAGTAACAACTATATTTTTTGCTCAAACATGAGAATTCAAAAATAGCCCAGAAGGAAGACAGGCAGCTCTTAAGGAAGAAGTATGAAATAAAAAAGTTTACCAACCTGAAGATCCTGCATGTTCAGACATGTTCCTTTCATCATCTTCAACACAGCTTCCTCCTGAGAAGGAACGCTTTTCATGATGTTGTTTCTTTCGGGCAAACAGGCCTTGCATTTCTTTGTTGCACTGTTTGCATTTTGTACGCATGCCTGTCTTACCCCCAAGTAGAGGGGAATTTGATTATTTAATTAAAATATTCCCAAACTGGATCTCTTTTACAGCCCGCTGCCATCATAGGTTTTCCTTTCTAGTGAGAGAATGCTATGGTAGATTTCAAATCAATGAAGGCTACACTCAGAAAGACCTCAAGGTTTCTGGAATATGCTGCTCAAACAGTTTCACTTGTGTTTCTACTGCCTGTCCCTCCCTTCTCACATTTATCTCCAGACTTCTCCTTGTCCAGATCTATTCCGCCCCCAATCTTTTATTCATTGAACTTTTTGAAACTTTGCACTTTTACAGAGGGGTAAGGGATTGACTCTGTGTACACAAATTTGCAGAGGGACAGTAGGGTTGAGGTTTGTTATTTCTCACCTCAATGTAGTATTTATTTATTTATTTAAAACATTTTTGCTGTTAACAAGCATGTTCTCTCTGGAGACACAAATCCACAATTTGAGAACTGCAAAACTAAGCATCTCCGATGGTATCTTCTAGACTGAGCACTAAATCCCATTGGGTAGATAGAAAGATTAACCTAAATAGTCTAAACAGAAGCCCCTGGAATCCCATAAGATTGGGTCCCTAATCCATGAACTCTCGGAACTCATTTACAAAACTTTTCTTAAACGTTACATGAATATATTGTCTCATACTATAGAATTAGAATTTATAATCCCTATTCCATGATGAGATATCTTTGAGGTATAATATATCTTAATTAAAACGATCTTTAGATCTGATTTTTTTTATTTTTTTTTTTTAATCGTTGATTTTTATCCACTCTGGTGACCGCCACAACCTGATTCCTCACATCAGGTGGGACTGGGAGCATCATGGAGGTGATGTTCTTGGTTTCTGAACTGGAGATGAAGACATGTCACTTCTGCACCCAAGACCAGATTTACACCTCACGCACCCTTAGGCACAGCATCTTCAATGCCCCCCCTGCCTACAGCTGCCCTTCGTGTTTTCCATAAGAAATGAAACAAAAAAAAAATATAAACACAGCCTCTCCAGGAAGGCATGAGATCCACCAGCATGCATGGTGCTCCCAGCCTGAGGTGGGGAGCAGCCCACCCATCCCAGGTGAGGCACATGGGGGGGACTGTACCTCTCCCCACGGCTCTGCCTGTGCAAGTGAATGGGGCACTAGCCACCTCCCTCCCTTTCCCTTCCTGGCACTGGGCAGAGGCAGTGCGGCGGCCGAGATTGGGAAGGGACTGGGACGCTCCCAGCACCTGCAGCAGCTGCCCCGCCCGCCTGCGGGTCAGCTCGCCCAGGCGGCCTGACTCAGACGCTCGCCCTGCTCCAGCCCCACAGGCAGGGCAGCCACCAACCCGTTCCAGGAGCCTGGCTGCCCACAGGGAAGCTGTATGTATTACATTTTTTAACTTTTAACCCACTTTTGACTTTTAGGCGCTCCTAGGCATGTGCCTACTGTGCCTAATTGGAAATCCGGCCTTGCTTTGCACCCTCTACTTGCTGGTCACTTGTTCTGCAGTTTCAAAGGAGCTGCTCACCTTCTCAGCAAGCCAACAGAGAGGGTTTTAAGACGTGGAAAAGATTAAACAGTTGATTGGAATGAAAGAAGGAATATCTTCCAACTGAGGTCATGGGGTCAGTAAAATGCAAAGGAACCTAAGCTGATAATCTTAGGGTCTCCCATGAATGTTTGTCCCCAAGAAAGCTGATTCTCCATCTCTGAAGGGTTCTAGGTGTGTTCCCAAGGACCTGTCTTACCACAATGGGTGAGTTGGAAGGGAGCTAGAGATTAGGGCTTCCCTGGGTCCACCTCACAACAGGACTTTTATCTCTCTTGTTTCCTGCTCCTCCTTTTCTCCTTGTCAAAGACACTCTTTTATTTCCTGCTTTGTATTCTTTGACCTCTGACTGTTTGTCTTCTGCCTTCCATGGCAATGCTTTCTTGACTCTCTGCCTCTGTTTTTAACCATAGATTGAGAAGTAACACTGTTGCTTCTCTCCTCAGTGACTGTACGTCATCCACACGTCGCGAACAGAAGCGTGAGCAGTACCGCCAGGTCCGAGAGCATGTGCGGAATGATGACGGTCGATTACAGGCCTGTGGGTGGAGCCTTCCTGCCAAGTACAAGCAGGTAGGAACCATTTGCTGCAAGGCTGAGGGGGAAGAACAGGTGATTACAATCCCAAATGAAACCAGTAGAAACCTAACTCCCCCTATTGGTAAATATACTTTTTATTGGTACAGCATTTGAATTAAAGATACTGTAGACACATGCGGTCTGTCTGGTGGGCTTGGGTCAAATTCATCCTTTCTATATGCCCTCTGCAGTCATTGGAGGGGAAGTTTTCTTGCATGGAAGTTTCTGAAAGAACTCCATCTGGAAGCAGCAATAATTCTTCCTCCACCAGAGCCCATTCTTATTCTTATTTTTATTTACTTTATTTTTTTCAATTTAGTCCATACACAGGCTCTGAGCACTCTGCCAATTATTTAAAATTACAAACCCAGTCAGCTCTCTGGTCTGCCCAGCAGCAAGATCAAATACCATCACCCCAATATGTTGGCCTACACTGCAACCCACCTACCTCTCATCAAAGGTCAGGTGATGGAAATGGGCGCTGCAATGTGCCCTGAAAGTTGACAAATCCCCAGGCTGCTTTGGAGCTGGGTGGGAGGGCATTCCAGTGTCCTGGGACCCTTACAGAATGCTCTGCCAGCCACCTGCTCTTGTTAAATCAAGGGGGAATATACCAGTAGTGTCTGTGCTGACCATATGTCACATTCTGGGGGGCAATCTAGACCAGTGAGGTGTTGTGTCATTGCTTGCCCTGTAACTCTTAAGTGCTTCAAAAGGCTCTGCTCTGTGGTGCTCTTGTCTGGATGTTTCTAGCCAGCGGACAAGCCTGCACTGAGTTTCTGTGATTCCAGCAGCCATGCTCCGGTTACACCTGGCAAGATGACCCCAACACAATTCCAAACTTTTCCAAAACCGTGTGCTCTGCAATGTCCAGCCCTCTCTTGGACCATTCAGAGAGATTTAAGGTTTGTTTGTTCCTTTAAAGATACAATATCCAACAGCTTGCCACATTAACTAGAGTTCACGTTCACTTTAATTCAAACACAGCAGTGGGTTGGGTTAGATTAAAAGTAAAACAAGTTTATTAACAATACAAGATTGGATTTTAAGTGAGTTCAAGTATAAAGGGTAGAGTTAGAAATGGTTGCAAGAAAATGCCAGTGAAAAATGCCATCTAACGGCTAAGGCTTAATAAAACAATCTGCAGCCTTTATTCAGGCCTTTATTCTTACCAATCTACCTTCCAGCAAGATGGCTGACCACTCCTCTGGTCAAGATCTCCCACAAAGTTCAAAGTACTCAATTCCTTAGTCGTCTCAGGTGAAAAATAACTGTGGGTTCTTTCCCCCTTTATTTTATAGCCTAGTGAATTTTTCTGAAGGTTACCCACCAAAGTAAAGTTCATTAAGCTATTAGGAAGGCAACATGGAGTCTGGTGGTGGAGGAAGCTCCATGCTTTTTTCTTCCCTCCCCTCCCGCAGTGTTTGGTACAATGCAAATTATTCTGTTTCCTGCAATCTCCTCCCCCTGCTGTCTTGATGGTCCTGTTTATCTTCTATGTTGTTTGCATTCCCATTATCTCTTAATGTACATTGAATGTCATTCAGCCACCTAGAAGGCATCTCCCTTTGTCTAGAGTGGAATAACTTTAGCCCTGCCTGGCAGGACACATAATTTCCAATATGTTTGTAATTTTGAGTTTGTGTTCATAGAATCATAGTATATCAGGGTTGGAAGGGACCTCAGGAGATCATCTAGTCCAACCCCTGCTTAAAGCAGGACCAATCCCCAACTAAATCATCCCAGCCAGGGCTTTGTTAAGCCTGACCTTAAAAACCTCTAAGGAAGGAGAATCCACCACGTCCCTAGGTAACCCATTCCAGTGCTTCACCACCCTCCTAGTGAAAAAGTTTTTCCTAATATCCAATCTAAACCTCCCCCACTGCAACTTGAGACCATTACTCCTTGTTCTGTCATCTGGTACCACTGAGAACAGTCTAGATCCATCCTCCTTGGAACCCCCTTTCAGGTAGTTGAAAGCAGCTATCAAATCCCCCCTCATTCTTCTCTTTTGCAGAATAAATAATCCCAGTTCCCTCAGCCTCTCCTTATAAGTCATGTGCTCCAGCCCCCTAATCATTTTTGTTGCCCTCCGCCGGACTCTCTCCATTTTATCCACATCCTTCTTGTAGTGTGGGGCCCAAAACTGGACACAGTACTTCAGATGAGGCCTCACCAATGTCGAATAGAGGGGAACGATCACGTCCCTCGATCTGCTGGCAGTGCTCCTACTGGTGTTCCGTACTTACACCAAACAGTAATATTAATGATCAGTGATTTCTATTGATAGCTTACATGACACTTTTTGGGTACAATTTATGACCTTAGTGAGTTGGAGTACACTTAACTAGTCATGCCAGCTGTAACTCACTCACTACCAGATACAGTGAGCCCCTGGCCCTCTTGCATTGGAATGCTGTTAGTGTGACACTGTAACTCTGGCAGTGTATCATGGTGAGAGAGGTGGTCTCACAGGTATACTGGTTCCAGGCCATTTGAGGCTTCATTCCATACAAGGTGTACGATGAAGCATACGCAGGCATTGGCAGTGAGTAACTGCAAGGTTTTTCTAAGGCTAAAGTTTTTTGTTACACCTTCATGGCTATAGGTCTATTGTTATAGCTGGCTTATAATCATATCACACTCTTGTACTGTCTTTCTCTGTCTCCTCTTCCTCCACAGCTGAGTCCCAATGGTGGCCAGGAAGACACCCGCATGAAAAATGTCCCTGTGCCTGTGTACTGTCGCCCTCTAGTGGAGAAGGACCCCACCATGAAGGTAAATATTCAGCTATAGACTGTTTTGCATACCATTGTGACTGTGAGTGGTGCACGTCCCCGGGTATGAATTATGGTCAAATTAATTACTGGTGCAATTTTTAGGTTGTTTGAAATTTTTGACATGGTCCAATTGTTCAAAGTTTCTGTTAAATCTGAAGACTTCTACTCCTGCTTTGCCTTTGGAATGGCTTATTTCTAATGCATATAGGACAACAGTACATCTGTTTCTAAGGCTATATTTCACAGCAAATTTTGGTTGCCAGGAGACATTACCGTGGTTCTTTCCTAGGTTCTTTGCTTGTTTTTATGCGTGACTTACACAGGATCAGCAACCACCTGAGTTTATAAAGCTCCCCTTACAAAGAAGCCTTAGAGCACTGTACAGTAAACCGATATAAAAAAATCAGCAAGAGCAGTTGAAGGCAGCTATGAACATATTTCTTTAACCTCCATCACTGATTAGAAATCGCCAATCTGAACCAAATTTAGCTTTGGTATTTGTAACTCAATAGACTTCTCTGGAATTGTCTGCTTATGCCAGGCCTGAATCTATGACACTCTGAGTATCTTTCCCAAACTTGAAGAAGAGCTCTGTGGAGCTCAAAAGCTTGTCTCTGTCACCAGCAGATGTTGGTCCAGTAAAAGATACACCTCTACCCCGATACAATGCGGTCCAATATAACGCGAATTTGCATATAACTCGGTAAAGCAGTGCTCTGGGGAGCGGAGCTGCTTTACCTCATTATATCCGAATTCATGTTACTGCAAGCGGTTCCTCTGCACCCCCCCCTTACTTGCCCAGCTCGCCTCCGCCTCCTCCCACGAGCATGCCACCTCTCCGCTTCTCCTCCCTCCCAGGCTTGCCGCGCCAATCAGCTGATTCGCAGCAAGCCTGGGAGGGAGGGAGAAATGAGAGGAGAAGCAGAGCGGCAGCGGCGCGCTCAGGGGCGTAGGCGGAGTGGAGGTGAGCTGAGGCGGGGGGCGCAGGGAGGGCCGCAGCAAGTAACCGAGGGGTGGGGGGCAGGGGGCAGAGGAACTGCTCCCCACCCCAGCTCACTTCCCCTCCGCCTCCTCCCCTGACCGCACCATTGCCGCTCCGCTTCTCCCCCCTTCCTCCCTCCCTCCCTCCAAGGCTTGCTGCGAATCAGCTGATTGGTGTGGCAGGCCTGGGAGGGAGGAGAAGCGGAGCAGCGGCGTGCTCGTGGGACGAGGCGGAGCAGAGGTGAGCTGGGGCGGGGAGAGGTTCCTCTTCCTACCCTGCTATAACATGGTCTCACCTATAAGACGGTAAGCTTTTTTGGTTCCCGAGGACTGTGTTATATCGGGGTACAGGTATTCCCTCCCCCACCTTGTCTCTCATATTCAGAGTTGATTTTCAGACTGCAGTTGGATATTAAATGGTAAAAGAATTCTTACATTGCTGGCTGTTTGTGGTCTGAGATTCTCAGCATAGCCTGACCTATGGGGATGCTTCTGTTTGGTCTGTTTTTCCCCAGAGATTGTTGATTGTCCCAGTGTTTGGGAATAGGATTCCATCCCCAACATTCTCATAAAAACAATGTGGCTTACAGTGGATTAGGTAGTTTCTAGCACAGGAGAAGATGCAAGTCACTTCAAACTTGCAGGAAACCTGCTTTTCAGGGCCCAATCCTACATTTGTTATGCATGCTTAACCCAAATCGAAGACAAATCCGTTTTTTGTCTGCATGCATACTGCAGAGTCATGCCCTAACAGCCCTGTTTCCAGTTGTGGACTCTGTTACTACTGCCTGTTCTGGTTATTGACGTGTAAAGAAAACATTCTGCTTCTCCACCTAGGAGAGTCTTGGAACCCTTTTCACTGCAATGCTGTGGACCTTTCACCAGCTTGATTTTAGGTCACACACAGAGTTTATTATTTTCTTTCTCTTTTAATATCTGCTAATCATATTTGCTAAATTGTCTCTTTGGAAATGCAGTGGCTTCAGATTTCCTCTTTCCTTTCTCCCCTAAATTGACTGTGGTTTCTGGTAGAAATCAACCTAAATTTTTGTAGGTGTTGGGTATGTGCATGGAATGCTCTGCAGGGGTACTTGAACTGAGTAAGGTTCTGGTCCCCAAATAGTTCTTAGTCTCTTTAGATTTCTGCTTTGATCATTTAGTTGTGGTGTGCAGCTGGAGTCAACCTGATGGGCTGGAAGCCCTTTGAACAGGATTCTGGGAGTGGACAGAAGTCAGATCCTGGACGTGATCCGCTCACCTGTGACCGGGAGGTGGAAGGAGAGAACACCAAGAGTAACCACACATCTCCAGAAAAGAAAAAGGTCAGAAAAGGGACCCTCTGATTCTCTCCGCCTCTTTCTGTCCCTGCCCCCCTTATTTGGCACACTCATCGTCATAGTATTAGAACTATGTCTCTCATGTACTGGCTGTTTGCATAGTCTTTCCTCCTGTAACAATTGGTTTAATATCTATGCAGCATTGTCCAGTGATAAGAGCAGGTGCTATTCTCAGCTCCACCAATGACTCTGATCTTGGATAAGTCACATACCCTGGCCAAGCCTCCATTTTCCCCTTTGTAAAGTGCTTGGAGATCTACAGATACAAGGTGCTTTATTAGAATAAAAGGATCATTTGATGCCGAATGACAATGCAGTCTTTCATAAAAAGTATCAGGATTCAGGCAGGAACAGGATGTATTGAGAATCATGGTATTGGAGCTTGGGTGCAAGATGGCTAATGCTGCTTCTGTAATACAGAAGCCTTGCTGTCCAGCTATCAAGCAGACAGATGAAGTAATGGCAGGCAACACAATGGCTCATTTCATTCAGATTTCCATATGGCAAAATGTAAGCAGCTATGAGGATGGAAAGGTCTAAAGCCAGTGATGACTGACCTGTAACCGATAACTAGTGAAAGTGCAGTAGAGCTGTAGGTTGCTCTGTAAATCTTTGCAAGGTTGTGGCTACTCTTGGCTTCCATGTCTTCCCACAGTAGGATGGCTGCTAATCCTCTGGGAAGGAGGATAATACTGCAATAGATTTCTAATAACTGGTGGGTTTCATCCTCAAGCCCATCTGCCTCCCAGCTGTATTTTGAGCTAAGAAGTGGGTTATTGCTAGGTGTGTTGGTGAGCTCATTCCTGGCCTGTTTTACCATAGCAAGAGAGGTTTTATTGGAATGAGCTGCTGCTTCTGAACTTCCCATTCTAGAAAGCAACTTTTTTCACCGAACATAAACCCAGTAAGATACTGAACCCAATGTTACAACAGTTTGAAGCCACCTAGAGGGAATGCATGGCTCTTCTATGATTTATGTCTGGGGAACTGTGATGAATTTTAAAAATGGATTGGTTGTGCTAAGTAGTAGCATAGTAGACAGAACCTTCCTTGCTTAGGTTGATAGTTCAAGTACAGCCGAGGTTGACAGTAACTAAATGCTGTTACTATCTGACTGCTGTTTGGTGGCCTCTATGAAATGAGTTCCCAGTGACACTAATTGTAAGTCTCAGAGGCGAGGCTTAGGACCAAACTCCCCACTCGCCCCATAGGTGGTCTCTGCAGTCTGGGCTGAGGTATGCTAGGGCAGCAGCATAGTGGAAATTTGCATTGTGGCTGCCTATTTTTGTGTATCTTCAGATGCTAACAAGAGGTGTTCACTCTCTAGAGCTGGAAGGCTGGTCTCTTCAATACAAATGTTGTCAAAGATTGATTGGTTAGCTGGAGTCTCAGGAGTGCTGATTCTCTCCCTTCATTTTTATCTCCTGCAGGTAAAGGAGCTGCACGAGATGGATGCCACATCCAGCCGAGTCTGGATTCTCACGAGTACCCTCTCTACAAGTAAAGTTGTAATCATTGATGCCAACCAGCCTGGCACAGTGGTGGATCAGTTTACTGTCTGCAATGCCCACGTACTCTGCATTTCCAGCATCCCTGGTAAGTGAGAAAAGGCATCTTTCAAGCTTGAACAGATTCATCAACTCCTCAGATTTGTTGCAAATGATGCTTAGTTGTTCCGTAGCTAACAAGTGGGAGCTGCTGTGACCAGTTCAGCAACTGTGTCCACAGATGGTCACCCATAACCTGCCTTCATGTAGGACCAGACTGTGGAGACTTTACTTACGTTGATGAGCACTTATTCATGTAAAAAGAAAAGGAGTACTTGTGGCACCTTAGAGACTAACCAATTTATTTGAGCATGAGCTTTCGTGAGCTACAGCTCACTTCATCGGATGCATACCGTGGAAACTGCAGCAGACTTTATATATACACAGAGAATATGAAACAATACCTCCTCCCACCCCACTGTCCTGCTGGTAATAGCTTATCTAAAGTGATCATCAGGTGGGCCATTTCCAGCACAAATCCAGGTTTTCTCACCCTCCACCCCCCCACACAAATTCACTCTCCTGCTGGTGCTAGCCCATCCAAAGTGACAACTCTTTACATAATCAAGTCGGGCTATTTCCTGCACAAATCCAGGTTTTCTCACATCCCCCCCACCCCCATACACACACAAACTCACTCTCCTGCTGGTAATAGCTCATCCAAACTGACCACTCTCCAAGTTTAAATCCAAGTTAAACCAGAACATCTGGGGGGGGGGGGGTAGGAAAAAACAAGAGGAAACAGGCTACCTTGCATAATGACTTAGCCACTCCCAGTCTCTATTTAAGCCTAAATTAATAGTATCCAATTTGCAAATGAATTCCAATTCAGCAGTTTCTCGCTGGAGTCTGGATTTGAAGTTTTTTTGTTTTAAGATAGCGACCTTCATGTCTGTGATTGCGTGACCAGAGAGATTGAAGTGTTCTCCGACTGGTTTATGAATGTTATAATTCTTGACATCTGATTTGTGTCCATTTATTCTTTTACGTAGAGACTGTCCAGTTTGACCAATGTACATGGCAGAGGGGCATTGCTGGCACATGATGGCATATATCACATTGGTGGATGTGCAGGTGAACGAGCCTCTGATAGTGTGGCTGATGTTATTAGGCCCTGTGATGGTGTCCCCTGAATAGATATGTGGGCACAATTGGCAACGGGCTTTGTTGCAAGGATAAGTTCCTGGGTTAGTGGTTCTGTTGTGTGGTATGTGGTTGTTGGTGAGTATTTGCTTCAGGTTGCGGGGCTGTCTGTAGGCAAGGACTGGCCTGTCTCCCAAGACTTGTGAGAGTGTTGGGTCATCCTTTAGGATAGGTTGTAGATCCTTAATAATGCGTTGGAGGGGTTTTAGTTGGGGGCTGAAGGTGACCGCTAGTGGCGTTCTGTTATTTTCTTTGTTAGGCCTGTCCTGTAGTAGGTAACTTCTGGGAACTCTTCTGGCTCTATCAATCTGTTTCTTTACTTCTGCAGGTGGGTATTGTAGTTGTAAGAAAGCTTGACAGAGATCTTGTAAGTGTTTGTCTCTGTCTGAGGGGTTGGAGCAAATGCGGTTGTATCGCAGAGCTTGGCTGTAGACGATGGATCGTGTGGTGTGGTCAGGGTGAAAGCTGGAGGCATGCAGGTAGGAATAGCGGTCAGTAGGTTTCCGGTATAGGGTGGTGTTTATGTGACCATCGTTTATTAGCACTGCAGTGTCCAGGAAGTGGATCTCTTGTGTGGACTGGACCAGGCTGAGGTTGGTGGTGGGATGGAAATTGTTGAAATCATGGTGGAATTCCTCAAGGACTTCTTTTCCATGGGTCCAGATGATGAAGATGTCATCAATATAGCATAAGTAGAGTAGGGGCTTTAGGGGACGAGAGCTGAGGAAGCGTTGTTCTAAATCAGCCATAAAAATGTTGGCATACTGTGGGGCCATGCGGGTACCCATAGCAGTGCCGCTGATCTGAAGGTATACATTGTCCCCAAATGTGAAATAGTTATGGGTAAGGACAAAGTCACAAAGTTCAGCCACCAGGTTAGCCGTGACATTATCGGGGATAGTGTTCTTGACGGCTTGTAGTCCATCTTTGTGTGGAATGTTGGTGTAGAGGGCTTCTACATCCATAGTAGCCAGGATGGTGTTATCAGGAAGATCACTGATGGATTGTAGTTTCCTCAGGAAGTCAGTGGTGTCTCGAAGGTAGCTGGGAGTGCTGGTAGCGTAGGGCCTGAGGAGGGAGTCTACATAGCCAGACAATCCTGCTGTCAGGGTGCCAATGCCTGAGATGATGGGGCACCCAGGATTTCCAGGTTTATGGATCTTGGGTAGTAGATAGAATATCCCAGGTCGGGGTTCCAGGGGTGTGTCTGTGCGGATTTGATCTTGTGCTTTTTCAGGAAGTTTCTTGAGCAAATGCTGTAGTTGCTTTTGGTAACTCTCAGTGGGATCATAGGGTAATGGCTTGTAGAAACTCGTGTTGGAGAGCTGCCGAGCAGCCTCTTGTTCATATTCCGACCTATTCATGATGACAACAGCACCTCCTTTGTCAGCCTTTTTGATTATGATGTCAGAGTTGTTTCTGAGGCTGTGGATGGCATTGCGTTCCGCATGGCTGAGGTTATGGGGCAAGTGATGCTGCTTTTCCACAATTTCAGCCCGTGCACGTCGGCGGAAGCACTCTATGTAGAAGTCCAGTCTGCTGTTTCGACCTTCAGGAGGAGTCCATCTAGAATCCTTCTTTCTGTAGTGTTGGTAGGGAGACCTCTGTGGATTAGTATGTTGTTCAGAGGTATTTTGGAAATATTCCTTGAGTCGGAGACGTCGAAAATAGGATTCTAGGTCACCACAGAACTGTATCTGCTAGCAATATTGTTAACCTATCCAACTATACTCTCAGCCCAGCAGAAGCAGCTGTTCTATCTCGGGGCCTCTCCTTCTGCCCCTCCACCCCCACGAACATGATACAGTTCCACAAGTACTCCTTTTCTTTTTGCGAATACAGACTAACACGGCTGTTACTCTGAAACTTATTCATGTAAGTAGTTCCTTTGACTTCCAGAAGTCTACTCATGTAAGCAAGTGCTCACCAGCCCTGAGTAAGGGCTCCACAAACCTGGCCTTGATATGGAGGCTGGGCAAGGCACTCTCCAAGGGGCTGTGGTGTCTTCATGAGACTGGTAAACTCACCATCAGAATGTTACATCTCCATGGATATCTCAGGAATGCTGCTAAGCCAAAATAGGGTAGAGTGGCTATTACACTTACGGAAGAGTCTCTTCCTTTCCCTTCAGCGGCTAGTGACAGTGACTATCCTCCAGGCGAGATCTTTCTGGAGGGAGACGTGAATCCAGAAGAGTCATCTGGAACAGATGGAGTCCTTGCAGGAATCACTCTGGTGGGTTGTGCAACCCGGTGCAACGTGCCACGCAGTAACTGTTCTTCTCGTGGAGACACCCCCGTGCTGGATAAGGGACAGAGTGAGTCTCAGGACTAAGGTCTCATGATAATCTGGTTTTCACCCTGTAGCCACATCCTTCTTCATCTGAGTACTCCCCTTCCTGGCCTGAAGTCCTTGGGGATCCCCAAGAAGTCTTGCAAGTCTAGGCTAAGTCATAAACACCTTGGCCATCCCCTTTGTTTATACCTTTGAGACCTTCTATTTAGAATCCAGAGTGTTCCTTTCCTCTTCCCTATGAATGATCCACATCACACTGTACAGTACTGGGGTTAACAGAGTGGAATCTTTTCGACAGATGACATGTCCTTGATCTCTCACTTTTGTTGCTATTCTTAGCATTTTTCTTTCCCAACCCATGTCTTTCTATAAACTCACTAATTCATTGAGGTGAGCAAAGATGTGAGTGTGGGAACGGGAGTAAAAATACTCTGATCAGATCCTCAGTGGAACGGGCTGCCATAGAGGGTTTCTGACACCCTACCAGACATAGACCATACCTCACCTTAAAATACTCTGACTCCTCTCCTTCAGAATAGAGATCTCTCTTGAGTACTCTCCTCATCTATATGCAGCTTGGGGAATCTATAATAGCAGACACAAAAGCTGTCTGACTTGCAAGAATAATCATAAAACCAGAAGCTTTTTTATATATATAGTTCCCTCTTTCTTGTTTCCCATCCACCTTACAGCATTTTCCCCTTCCCTAGGTGAGGTGGCTGCAGTCAGCAATGGGAAGATCTATCAGTCCCAGTCCACGGAGGAGGCAACAGAAGCTACAGAGGTACCAGAGAGTGGTGCAAATGAAACAGAACCAGCTCAAGTCCGGCCTGGTCCACTTACAGAGCATATCTTTACAGAGCCAGATCCAGCTCAGGCACCTGTTAGACAGAACAGGTAGGCTGGATGCATGGAGTGTGCTCTTTGTCTTATACTTAGATATAAGCTCCTTGGGGCAGGGACCGTCTTTTTGTCCTGTGTTTGTACAGCGCCAACCACAGTAGGGTTCTGATCCACAATAAGGAGTCCTCAGTGCAATGGTAATACAAAAAATAATAATAACAATAATACAGTTGTGTACCATCAATCTTTGCCTGCATCAGCTGTTTGTGATGAGTAAAATGAGGTGGCCAGTCTGGTTTTTTTGGGCAGATTCAAACTCTCGTCACTTTCATGCCAAACCAATATCACAGATGGGATAACAGGGTAGAGAAGAAATAAAATGAAACAAACATGGTTCAGCTAACAGTCGTGGTTCGGCTGCCCGCTACTCCCTTCCTCCTTGTCCGCCTGCCGGCCTCCTCGCCCCCCTCCCACCTGCCGCTCGCCTCCCTGTTCGCCTCCTCACCCCACTCACCTGCCTGTCTCCTGCCTCACCTCTCTGCCCATCTACTCATGATTTTATCGAAGTGTGCGGCCCCCCAAAGCACGGGGCCCGAGGTGGTTGCCCTGATTCGCCATACCCAAGGGATGGCTCTGGCCCCAGATATGACCTATAATCAACTTGTGAGGTCTGTTTTGTCTCTGCAGTGAGAACGGGCAGCAAAAGACAGAGTCGAGCACAACACTGCCAGAGCAGGAAGTGAACGGTGATGCTGCTGGAACAGGCACCAGTGCTGCACCCACAATGTGGCTTGGAGCGCAGAATGGCTGGTAGGTTCACTGCCATTTTACGGAACCCTATATGTCATCCACATTAATAAAACCCCATAGATCTAGATATCATTGCCTTTAAAGAGTGTATCCTTGCTGCACTAGCTGTTCTGAGTCCCCAGTTCATCTTCGGCAGAGCAACTCACCCACACTTTGCAAATTCCTTTGATGCTAGAGTAAAAGACTCAACCCCTACCCCACAGTTCAGCCTTTGTAGGTTTATTGGCCTTCCTGCTAACCATCGTTGTCTGCTCCTTTCTCCCAGGCTGTATGTGCACTCGGCAGTGTCCAACTGGAAGAAATGTCTGCATTCAATAAAGCTGAAGGATTCTGTGCTGAGCCTGGTGTAAGTTGGTGTACTGAGTTGGGAACTCTAAACCAGGGAATTTGTTATTTTTCTTGTCATTAGTTGGTTCTTTGCCTGGCCATCTTTTCATCACCCTGGTAGTGTTCTGTAAATCAGTAAAGGTCTGTGGGGAAGGGGTCTCAACCCACTCCCTGCTCACTGAACCATTTAAGCTTCAGAGGGTATTTCTATACTGCACACTAAGCCCAGGTCTTAGGGACCCAGGCTTACAGATTCAGCGTTTCCAAGCCCATGCTTGAGCATCCACATGCATTTTAAATCTGGGTTTATAGTTGCTGGATCTGGTTCTCTCAGCTGTGCTAATGCATCCATTCTGCACTACAAAGACCTTCTGATTTGGGTCTGTGGCTAGACTTGCATCCACACTGAAAAATGACGGGGCTTGGACCTGAGTCATGCAGGACTTGGGCTCTGACCCACCCCCATGGCTGGGTCCTAGAACCCAGGTCCTGCGTGCTTGCTAACCTGAGTTAGGCTGATTTGTGTGTAGATGGAAGTGGGGCTTGGACTCAAACCTGAGTCAGAGCCCAGGCTTAGTGTGCAGTGTAGACATATCCACACTGAGCTACCTTCTTTCCCAGTTGCAGGCTTGTACCGAAGATTGGAAATAAGTAAGCAGGGGTGGGGGGACAATAGCTCAATTCTCCTCTCACTCACTCTAGTGTAAATTAGAAATCAGTGGAGTTACATTATTGTAAAGCCAGTGAAAAGAAGAGGGGAAACTCAGCAGGGCATTGGTGAGCCCCCGGCTAGTTTAATAAGGAAGGCATTAGTGCTACCAATAGAATAAAGAAGCTGTGTGTGTGACTCTCACATGATGAATGTTGCCTGCAAGCGCTGGATTTAGCAGGAATAATGGCATGACCATATGTGTGATTTGTTTAGATACAGGAAATGATTTATAACCAAGAGAGTGGGAGAAGGAATCTCTCATTCGCCAAACCAAGCAGACCATTAAAACATCCTAATCTTGCAGCATTTCCTGTTATTGCCACCTTTTCATGAGCATTTTCTTCTCTATTATTTCAGGCATGTGAAAGGACGGGTTCTTGTTGCCCTGGCAGATGGAACATTAGCCATATTCCACCGAGGAGAAGGTAAGGATCAAAGCAGCAAAGATGAACTAGCCTGCTTCAAGACAGAAGCAGAGTCTCTGGAAATAAATTAAGCATTTCAGTGCTTCCTTCTGATTCAAGATGGCAGGGTGCCAGATTGCTGGGGAATTAATATTTTCTTAAAATATATGGCTACTATAAAAGTATTACCCTCATCCTAATCATTACAGCTCCTCTTACTTCTGGGTTGTAATTCTTTATCCTGCTAGCTGCAGGCTGATTTTGCATCCCTAGAGATCATCTCTGTTACACTGCAGCTCCCAGCTGCATTCACACCTGAGAACTTCAGAGCAGTTTCCAGTTGTGACCAAAGTTCCCAGAGCAACACTTCTTTCTCAGTTACTCCTTGAATTCTCTGAGTGTAATCAAAGCAGTGGAGTCAGTACAACACACTAAAGTGGACAGGCTGCTGTTTGCATGGAAACCAATTTTGATTCAACCTCTGTTATGGTTGGTTAGGCAATGTGAACTTGGAGTTTAGGTCTGATCATTCATACATTCAGAACATTCATTTTAAAGATACAATAATCCTTCCTGACCTAGAAGTCATATGTCTTCAGAAGAAGCCTGATTGCTCTAGTAGTTGGAGCATAGGTCTAGGAGGTGAGAGATCTGGGTTCTGTCCCTGGCTGTGAGTGACTTTGGGCAAATCATTTAAATATGCTTCAGCTTCTCTGTTTGTAAAATGGGGAGAATGATGCCCCTTACAGAGAAGAGTGATTCATTCGAACAAGCTTTGAGATAGTTCCATTGGATTTGCTTCCCCCCACCCCCTGCTGCCCCTTTTTTTGCTGTAGCTCATTAAAAAGCTTAGGGGAGTCTATTCACCTTCTCACAATAAGAATGGAGGTTTAAATAAGCCAGATTTTGGGAGTTTTAGCACCCAACCCCACATGCACTGCCATGTGCTTAGTGTGCACGAGGCTCTGACCCCAAGTAGTAGTATCAATCTATGGCCTGTTAACAAATCTAAGGAAAATGACCTTTGGTGTGCGTGTCCTATAATCCATGATCCTGCACTGCCAGTCTAACAGGATTTCACACACAATGATATGTACATTCAGAATCTCCACATTCTATTTTGATATAATAAACAACCTGTGATTCATTGTGTTGCTTATTATGTGAGTTTTCCTGTAGAAATTCTTTTCATTTTTGGCAGCACAAAGGTTTCTGTAGTCTTCAGGTTATGACAGTTATGTATCAGGATTTCTCTCTTGTGTTTTCTCTTGTTCTAATGGTATGAATTGTATTTCTGAATAATTTATTCTTGAGGGTTCTTGGCCAGTCTTGTGCTCCTCCATGAATACTCAGAAAGCTAAGAATATTGATTACCTATGGCTGCTTTTAAATAACTAACACAGCTTTCATTTACAGGAAAGTATGAGACAGTCCCAGAATTAAATGGAAAAGAAAATGAGTGTTGTGCATAACATCTGATGAAGTATACAACACCTCTTCTAATGTCTTTGCTTCTCCCTAGATGGTCAATGGGATCTCAGCAACTATCACCTGATGGACCTGGGTCACACCCACCATTCCATCCGCTGCATGGCTGTTGTGTATGATAGAGTCTGGTGTGGCTATAAGAACAAAGTCCATGTCATCCAGCCCAAGACAATGCAGATTGAGGTGAGGAGGCTGTGTGTGCGTATGTGTGTGTGCGTGCGCATGTGTGTATGTGAAAGTGAGAGTAAAGATAAGTTGCTGGCTCCCAGTGTATTAATTTTTCTAGCTGCTCTTCTGCAGGGGAGTGAGGGAATGCAGAGCCTTTGTATCCTTGGTGCTGATCCATGTTGGTAGGGGAAGAACTGTAACTAGAGGTCATGTTACTCTAGAAATCTGCCAGAATAGCACTCCTGACACACTCCGTCATTCCTCCCCGTATGGAATCTTCAGATCACATCTCAGTTTAGCACTTCCTCTCATTTAACTGATGAGGCTGGACTGGGCGTCTGTACCCGGCCCTAGTGTGTATCACTTGGTAGGAAGTCAGACTCATGCTTGGCCGCAGGCAGTATATAACTGCAAAATGGGCCGGTGTGGGCAGCAAGCTGTGGGGGTTCCACTTATTGAAGAGCAAGATGCTAGTTTAAAACCCATCTTGTTGAAATTGTGATTCGTTATAATGTAACAGTGTAACAGGAGTAACAATGTCTGTAGGATGCAACTGCTATAAAAGGGGGACGAATACAAACAGTAAATCCACAACCAGTAAATTCACCTCACTCACCACCAGCAAGATCCTCATCCTTGTGCTTTTAAAAACTTGACTGAGAAGTGCTGGGAGATTCCTTTTGCATTGTTTGAAAAGTACCCTGAATAAGGCAAAATGGTTTCATTTCATTTCACTCTTTGGCATGAGCCATTTCATTAATGTCCTAATTCCAAAGCAGTCTATTAGAATATCTAAGACTGTAACAATTCTCTCTAGGGAGAGGAAACCAGAGGAACAGGCTGGCCAATCACACAGTTGATCTGAGGAGCTTCTGCATACTGTAGTGGAGGTTTCAGAGCTATCTCCTTAGTTTATGCCTCTGCCCCAGGAGTCTTGAAAGCCAACAAGTACCCCCAGCCCAGGTATGAACTCACGCTGCTCCCCCTATGTGGCCTTTCAGAAATCCTTCGATGCCCACCCACGCCGGGAGAGTCAGGTCCGGCAGCTGGCATGGATTGGAGATGGGGTGTGGGTTTCCATCCGCCTGGACTCCACACTGAGGCTGTATCATGCCCACACCCATCAGCACCTCCAGGATGTGGACATAGAGCCTTATGTCAGCAAGATGCTAGGTGAGAAGGCAGTGCCAGTCAGGAAATGGCCTGTTTGTTATTCTTGTGGGCACGGAGCATCAGTGTTTGTTAGGCAGCATTGCTCCAAGTGATACTGTCTTCACTGATCCTGCAATTCTCATTCATGCTTGGCAGGCACTGGAAAGCTGGGCTTCTCGTTCGTGCGAATCACAGCCCTGCTTATCGCTGGCAACCGCCTCTGGGTTGGGACAGGGAATGGTGTCGTCATCTCCATCCCACTGACTGAGAGTAGGTGATGTTCATCAGACATTCTTCTGTGTTTTCTTGATGTTCACAACGCCTTTATTTGCTAATTGCGCTAGGAAGGAGTGGCTCTGGCTGACTAATGTATCTCCACCCTGATCCTGTGCATTTTGGTGCCACAACTGGAATTCTGGTCACAGCAGTGTTCAGGGAGAAAGGAGGGAGACTGGCAATAAAGATAGCTTAGTTTGGTTTTGCACCATGTTACAGAAATGCATGCCTCAGTCTAGAGCATTCTAGGACATTGTTATGGACAGCTCAGTGAAGACCTCATCTCAGTGTGCTGCTGCAGTCAAGAAAGCGAACAAGATGTTAGAATGCATAAGGAACAGGCTGTAGAATAATGCAGAAAAATGTACAACGCCATTATATAAATTTGTGGGACATCCTCCTCAAGAATATTTTGTGCATTACTGATCATCCCATCTCAAAATGGATATTACAGAATTAGAGAGGGTTCAGAGATGGGCGACAGGAATGATAAAAAATGGCATGGTGAATAATATGGAGGATATTATAATACTGTGTTCTAGAGTGGCTTGGTTTGTGGATTGATCTTTCTAATGAGGTAACCTCCATTCAGCTTGGAAGGACTGAGAGAAATAGGCAAACCCTATAGAATTAGGGAAAGTCTGAAATGTCATCTGCAGTGTTCACATGTAGTGATGTTGTTTGAGGTTCCTCATTTTTCCTAATCTGACTGGGGAGCCCTGGATCTGGTCTGACACCATTCTAGTTATGGAATTAAGAATTCACTAGAAGTTAATTTGCCCCATGTAAAGATCAAATAGACATTTTGTTCCTGGCCCTTGCCGTCCAGTTGAAGCTGTTTCCTCCTCTGAGGAGCGGGATGTTGGCTCCATCTATACACAGGCTGCTGTTGAGCACATAGGCACCGACTCCATGGGTGCTCAGGGGCTGGAGTACCCACTGGGAAAAATTGGTGGGTGCTCTGCACCCACCAGCAGCCAAGCTCCCCGCCCCCCAGCTCATCTCACTTCTGCCTCCTCCCCTGAGCGCGCCGCGTCTCCGTTTTTTCCTCCCAGCGCTTGTTGCCACCAACAGCTGTTTCGCGGCATAAGCTCTGGGAGGGAGGAGGGAGAAGCGGGAACACGGCACGCTCAGGGGAGGAGACGGGGAAGTGGTGGGGCCGGGGCGGGGATTTAGGGAAGGGGTTGGAATAGGGGCAGGGAGGGGACGGATTTGGGGCGGGGACTTTGGGGAAGGGGTTGGAGTGGGGGCAGGAGGGGGCAGGGCAGGGGTGGAGTTGGGGCGGGGCCAGGGCGGGTCGAGCACACACCGGCACCAGCAGAAGCCGGTGCCTGTGGTTGAGCATGATTTTAAAGTGGCTGGCAACTGTTGACTGATTCTGAAAACATTTCATGATGCTGTAGATAGCTGAACTTCTCCCACTGCAGCATCTCCCAAGGCTGAGGATGCAGAAAGTTCATTACATCTAATCAGAAACTCAGTAAAAATCAGTATCTTAAGCCAACTTTATCCAGTAAAATGAGGAGACCCAGCAAGTGCTAACAGGCAAAACTCTAGATCTGGGGAGGAAGGGGCACTAGTTTAAACATTCAGTAATGCTACTCTTTGCCTGCCAATCCACATCTAACTCACTTTCCATTGTGGAAAGTTTTCTCCTAAGTGGACTTGAACGTACTAGAATTTGCAGTCAGAATAGCAGGGCTCCCTCTTCTTCCCGTGGTGCTGGCAGAGAAAGGAATGCTAGATAGAGAATGTCTGTTTGTTTTCTAGAAGGAGCAGCAAATCCACTGTAGTCCTACTGAACTGGAATTGTCCACTCCTGCTGCTGTTGACACCAATAGCACTGACACTAGTCATCAATGAATTAGTCATTAAATCCAACTGTCTGTGATTGTAACCTCAGAATCCCAGTTCTGAGCCCGTATCGTAAGGCATGTCCCTTCTTGGGGATGCTGTCATAACTGTGAGTTCAAGTCAATTCACATTGTAAGCAAATTCCACTAGTCTCTGATACTTGTGTAGAAATGTGATTTTTGAAAATGCAGTAAGATTTCACTATGAAGCTGATTTTTTCTCTCCCCTCCCTGATGCTGCAGCATGTTCTTTTTAGTTAAGAAAGAGGAGAGCAAGAGCAGTGTTTTCTTACAAAGAAATCTGAATTGATAGCATCCATTGGTGCCTTCTGTAGATTTAAAAGTTTATGTTTCTCCTTCCTGCAGTTTCTCCCAATAATTGCCTTTTTCTTCTTTTCTCATCTGCCTGTTTGTTCCCATGTCCCTCTGTTTTTCCACTTCTTGCCTGTGCCTAGCCGTAGTCCTCCACCGAGGCCAACTCCTTGGGCTCCGGGGTAAGTCCAACACCACCTACCTTCCTTCTAGATTTCAGATGTCATTCCTTGTCTACCCATCGACCTTTCCAGTCATTTTCTCACCTCTTTGTTCATCCATTTATCTGTTCACCTCTCTCATTTTAAGTTGCAATCACTGAGAAGAGACCAGAGATAATATAAATAGCCTCATTCTCCCGGGGCTGAGAACATTTGAACCCTTCTTGGCAGCCATCCCATTTGTTTTATTGTGAAATTGAGTACTTTAATCTCTCCAATTAGTTTCATTGTTTGAGTGGCTCAGATTAACCAAACTGTTCACTTTGTAACCCTAGCAGTAGGGATCTGCTTAGCCAGATGTTCCCAGGCAGACAAGGATAGACTGTCCACTCAGTCTTGCAAGATTTTCTCTGAGCACCTTCATTTTCCAAAACAATTATGGGCTTTGCCACTGTGGGACCTCATAGCCAGAAATAATTGAGCAGGACTTTTAAAAGCATTAAAAATCATTTGAATGTATGCAAGTTAAGCCAGTGATCTTGAAAAAATCAAAAGTTGATGGTTCAAGGCTTAAGATGACCATCTGCAGGGGTCAGAAAGGAATCTTTTTCTCCCAGAAGCATAGCACAATTACCCAGGATCACGCTTCCCTTTGAAGCATTAGATACTGGCTACTGCTAGAGACAGAATATTGGGCTAGAAGGATTAATTGCCTGGTATGACTGGTCCTATGTAACAATTAAATGATGCCAGCCAGTGTTCCCTCTAATTTTTTATGCCCATGTGCGGAATAAGGACTCCTCCCCCTCCCTCCCCCCCTCCTCCCCCCCCCGCCCCAAGCTCTCTTGCCGCAGCAGCTTGGGTGTAGAGGCACCTCTCCCCGGCTGCAGCAGATCCGGCAGGCCTGGGCCAGGCCGAGGGAGGGGCTCAGTTCCATGCTGGGGCTGGAGGAGGGGTGCCTCTACCCCGGCCTCGGCAGGTTCAGGGCAGGTCCATGGTGGGGTCATCGGGAGGGGCACCTCTCCCCGCAGCGGCAGTTCTGCGCTGGGGCTGATGGGGAGGGGCGCCTCTTTCCGCCATGACAGGTCTGCGCTGGGGCCAATGGGATGGAGCTCCTCTCCCGCTGCGGCCCTGAGCCCCTGCATGGAGCTTAATAGGCGGCCGCACAGCTTAGAGGGAACTTAGATGCCAGCCAATTGTACCTGCTCATAGCAAACCAAATCACAAAGATGCAGAAAGCCCTTACTGTTATGGTCTCTCTTTTTGACCAGCATTTATTCTTCCCTCCAGATATATTTGAGCCTGCTAGCTGTACATCTCCTCTGATTTCAGAATTATTTCTGCATCATTTAATAACTGAAATAGAACTCAGCCCAAAATATATAACTCTATTGAAACAATAGGTCCCTGTGGTAGCAGGATCGAAATAGCAACCACCTTATGATAGAATTGTAGGACAGTAAGGGACCTTGGGTCATTTAGTCCAGTCCCCTGCACTCATGGTAGGACTAAGTATTATGTTTTAGTTCTTCCAAGTGACTGATCACAAATGGAAGCTTTGGATTCACTACAATGTCCCTCTTAAGATTGGTTTCAGAGTAACAGCCGTGTTAGTCTGTATTCGCAAAAAGAAAAGAAGTACTTGTGGCACCTTAGAGACTAACCAATTTATTTGAGCATGAGCTTTCGTGAGCTACAGCTCACTTCATCGGATGCATACCGTGGAAACTGCAGCAGACTTTATATACACACAGAGATCATAAAACAATACCTCCTCCCACCCCACTGTCCTGCTGGTAATAGCTTATCTAAAGTGATCATCAAGTTGGGCCATTTCCAGCACAAATCCAGGTTTTCTCACCCTCCACCCCCCCCCACACAAACTCACTCTCCTGCTGGTTTGTGTATGTGTGTGTCCCCGGGAAAAAAAAAGGGTGGGGTGGGGTGAGAAAGCCTGGATTTGTGCTGGACATGGCCCACCTTGATTACCATGCACATTGTAGGGAGAGTGGTCACTTTGGATGTGCTATTACCAGCAGGAGAGTGAGTTTGTGTGTGTATGGGGGTGGAGGGGTGAGAAAACCTGGATTTGTGCTGGAAATGGCCCACCTTGATTATCATGCACATTGTAGGGAGAGTGGTCACTTTGGATGAGCTATTACCAGCAGGATAGTGAGTTTGTGTGTGTGGTTTTTGGAGGGGGTGAGGGGGTGAGAAAACCTGGATTTGTGCAGGAAATGGCCCATCTTGATTATCATGCACATTGTGTAGAGAGTTGTCACTTTGGATGGGCTATTACCAGCAGGAGAGTGAGTTTGTGTGTGGGGGGGTGGAGGGTGAGAAAACCTGGATTTGTGCTGGAAATGGCCCAACTTGATGATCACTTTAGATAAGCTATTACCAGCAGGACAGTGGGGTGGGAGGAGGTATTGTTTTATGATCTCTGTGTGTATATAAAGTCTGCTGCAGTTTCCACGGTATGCATCCGATGAAGTGAGCTGTAGCTCACGAAAGCTCATGCTCAAATAAATTGGTTAGTCTCTAAGGTGCCACAAGTACTCCTTTTCTCCTCTTAAGATTAAACTAGCTAGGGTCATAAAGGGTAACAAGAAAACACTTTACAAATACATTAGAGGGAAGAGGAAGACCAAGAACAGGGTAGGCCCATTACTCAATGAGGAGGAAAAGACAATAACAGAAAATGCAGCAATGGCTGAAGTGTTAAATGCCTTTTTTTGTTTCTGCTTTCACCAAAAAAGTTAGCAGTGATTGGACGACTAACATAGTGAACATCAGTGTAAATGGGCTAAGATCTGAGGCTACAATAGGGAAATAACAAGTTAATAATTACTTGGACAACTTAGAAATCTTCAAGTCAGCAGGGGCTGATGAAATACTTCCTAGAATACTTAAAGGACTGTCTGAAGAGATCTCTGATCCATTAGCAATTATCTTTGAGAACTCATGGAGGACTGGACAGATCCCAGAGGACTAGAAAAGTGCAAATATAGTACCTGTCTATAAAAAGGGGACTAAGGACAACCCAGAGAATTATAGACCAGTCAGCTTTACTTTTGTACCCAGAAAGATAATGGAGCAAATAATCAAACGATCAATTTGTAAGCACCTAGAAGGTGATAAGGCGATAAGTAAGAGGCAACATGGATTTGTCAAGAACACATCATGTCAAACCAACCTGATAACCTTCTTTAATAGGGTTAAAGTCTTGTGGATGGGGCAAGCAGTAGATGTGATATATCTTGACTTGAATAAATCTTTTGACATTGTCTCACATGACCTGTCTCATAGGGAAATATAGCCTAGATGAACTGCTATAAGGTGGGTGCACAACTGGTTGGAAAATGGTACTCTGTACATTGAGAGTAGTTATCAATGGTTCACAGTCAAGCTGGAAGGGCATATTGAGTGGTGTCCCGCAGGGATCTGTCCTGGTCCAGTTCTATTCAATATCTTCATAAATGATTTGCATAATGGCATAGAGAGTACACTTACAAGGTTTGTGGACGATACCAAGCTGGGAGTGGTTGCAAGTACAAGATTAGAAATGAAAATGATTTTGACAAACTGGAAAAATGGTCTGAAATAAACAGAATGAAATTCAGTAAGGACAGATGCAAAGTACTCCACATATAAAATGGTAAATGACTGTCTCGGAAGGAGAACTGCAGAAAGGGATCTGGGGGTCAAAGTGGATCACAAATGAAATATGAGTCAACAGTGTAACACAAAAAAAGCAAACATCATTCTGGGATGTATTAGCAGGACACAAGAAGTCAGTCTTCTGCTCTACTCGGCACTGATAAGGCCTCAGCTGGAGTATTGTGTCCAGTTCTGGGCACCACATTTCAGGAAAGATGTGAACAAATTGGAGAAAGTCCAAAGGAGAGCAACAAAATTGATTAAAGGTTTAGAAAACATGACCTTTGAGGAAAGATTGAAAAAACTTGGTTTGTTTAGTTTGGAGAAGAGAAGATTGGGGGGGCATGAGAACAGTCTTCAAGCACAGAAAAAGTTGTTACAGAGAGAAGGGTGATAGATTGTTCTCTTTAACCACTGACAACAGGACAAGAAGAAATGGGCTCAAATTGCAGCGAGGGTGTGTAACTTTGCCTCCGGGGGTCACAACTGAGAATATCAAATTCAGGACAAACTGCTGAGAAATATGGCAGACACACCCCAAAACTGGTAGTTATTCTCCCATAGGATACACCAAACCAGCAACAAACGTAAACTTCTGTTTCATCACACTGGCTAACAAGAAGTCAGAAAAGCAGTCTCCTTAGGCATGCCAATCCTTATAGCACCACCAAAAACACTAGACTTAATGATGAGTGGTTATTTAAAAGCAATTTAATCAAACAAAAGGGTTCTTCTGATCCCAAAGGACCAGCCACGTACCCAGGTGAACATACAACAGAGATCTTACCCAATAATCACGCTGTTGCCAGTCCTTTAGTAACTAAAATCTAAAGGTTTATTTATAAAAAGAAAGAAAGGTGTCACAGAGTCACTGGGCGATGCTCTGGAACTACTCTGAGGCCAGTCAGGACTCTGGGGAAGCTGCCTCCTCTCTCTGAGCACACTGTCACCAGGGCAAGAAGCTTACACAGCTTCATCTTTTCTGGGTCTGACCTCAGAGCATTCAGCATCCCTTTCCACACCGTGCGCTTTCCACAGTGAGTCCGCCCATGTGGGGCTCCTGGGGAAGCCAGAGGGCCCTGCATTCCAACTCTGCAGTCAGATGTGACTCTCAGCCAGCGAAAACAGAAGGTTTATTAGTCGACAGGAACACAACGTAGAACAGAACTTGTTATCACAGAAATCAGTGACTTTCAGCCAAGTCCATCTTGCGGGAATCCTGGGCCAGATGCCCTGGACTCCCCCTCTTCCAGTCCCCCACAGCAGACTGCCCAGCTTCCAGTGACCCGAGCCCCAACATGCCCGTTGCTCCTCCTCCTGGTCTGTCCTGCTTCCCGGGCAAAAGGTGTCACCTCGTCGCATCCCCCTCTTGGTTTGGCCATGGCCTACATGCAGACAGCTGGGCAGCCTCACCTGTCCAAGGACCTCAGCGAAAATCACACACCCAATTCCCATCACCTAACCATTGGTGCAGTACACAGGGAAACTGAGGCATGTGCAGTATTAGTATAGGACAGTAAGACTCACATGCAACATAAAATGAATAAACCCCACTTTGTCACAAAAGGTGAGAGTTAAAATTGGTTAAAGGAATCAAATATATACAATAAGTGCAAAGTTCTTGGATCAGGCTTGTAGCAGTGATGGAATAAACTGCTGGCTTGTTAAGTCTCTGGTTGCCTCCAAGTCACTGGAAGGTCCTCAGTCCCTTAATTAGAATGCTCCCATTAAGTTCATAGTCCAGAGGTTTGAACAGGAAAGAGGCAAAATGGAGATGTTTCCAGGGCCTTTTATAGCTTCTTCCAATTGAAGGGAAACCTATTGTTCTCACTGTGGAAAATTAAAGGTAACAAGATTGTGTTTTGGAGTCACATGGGCAAGTCACATGTCCATGCATGCTTTGCTTAGTCACAGAAGAAGCCATTACCTATACTCCAGATAGAACGTTCACAGGAAAGTCCATTAAGTGTAGATAGGCATCTCCCTTGTCCATTGTGAGTTAAGTCCCCCTTGATGAGCCATTTAACTCAAATAGTCCTTCACAAGGTGCTGGCTAAACACCTTGTTGGAGTTTCCACATGAGCAAACATTTGAAATACAGATACATCGTTAATATTTATAACTTCAGATACAAAATGATACATGCATACACAGCATAATCATATTCAGCAAATCATACCCTTTCTGTTGACACCTTATTTGACACACTTTGCATAACATTTGTTGCAATTATATAACAGTCGTAGCAACAATGATCTACACGGTCATATTTGAATCAGATAACATCACAGGGAGATTTAGATTAGACATTAGGAAAAACTTACTAACTGTCAGGGTGGTTAAGCACTGGAATAACTTGCCTAGGGAGGTTGTGGAGTCTCTGTCATTGGAGATATTAGACAAAGAGCAGGTTAGACAAATGCCTATTGGGGTGGTCTAGATAATACTTAGTCCTGTGTCAATGCAGGGAACTGGACTAGATAACATATCGAGGTCCCTTCCGGTCCTGTATTTCTAAAATTTCTACTGGCCTGGGTGTGCGTGCGGGGGAAGGAGTCTCCCTCCTTGAGTAATGAGTTCTAGTCTGTTTTCACTGGTGAACGGAGGAGTTCATTTCTTCAGAGCCTGATCCTCCAAGGTGTTGAGCATCCTTAGCTCTCATTGAAGTCCATGGGAGCCAAGGATGGTCAGAATCTCTGAGGAGTTCTTGAGTGGCCAGATAGTTGAACTCAAGGTATGAGGTCTTAGGCTGGTGGCAGAATTCTCCTTGGATTAGGAAAGGAACTCTGCTCCATTTGACTCGACAAGCCCAAATGCTATTGGGATTGAGAGTGCCTTCTCTAATGCTGCAGAGGCTGTATTGCCAGCCTGAGCACTGACATATTAGCATGAGTCCTTGACTTGACTTTCAAACTGAGCAACTTCACCAACCTGGGAAACAGCCACTACTTTCCAGGTGCATGAAGGCCAAGAATCCTAACCCTTTCATCAGGACAGCAAACTGTGCCCATCTACGTACCATGACTGGTCACTGGGGCAGAAGGCTGATGCTCTGACTCTGCAGACACTGACTCAGCCAACCTGAGTTCAGAAGAATGGATATTGTGGCTCTAGAAGGCCTTTATTGAGATGCCCTGGACATCCTTACTCCAGCATGTGTAGGGCTGGGATTACTCTTCCAACCAACCCCTAGAGAGGAGCATTTCCCTATTACCCGTTTTATAAGAAGCACAGTTTATTAGCAACAGTGGATATGACTGTGCCTCTTTGCCAGTAGAGAGAGAGGGCCTAGATAATCTAGCAGGGTCTCCTCCATGATGCACGAATGATGGCATTAAAGAGGACCTTTAATGGGCCTCTGCACCTTTAAAGCTTTTCCTACGTGACTCTTGGTTTGTGTTTTTCTTACATACTTCTCACTCTGACTGATGGTCCATAAATGGGAACAAAGCTACTACTTGGGGTTTTTCTCCTCCCTGTCTTCAGCCAATAAGACCTCCCCAACATCAGGAGAGGGAAATCGCCCTGGCGGAATCATTCACGTGTACGGTGATGACAGCAGTGACAAATCTGCCAGCAGTTTCATCCCCTACTGCTCCATGGCTCAGGCACAGCTCTGTTTCCATGGCCACCGTGATGCAGTCAAGTTCTTTGTCTCTGTTCCTGGTAAGGTGACCAAGGCACTTCCTCATGAGGATTCTTGCATTTACATTCTTCTATTTGGCCATCTTATCCCCTAAGACATCTGTGGGCTTTGCCCCTCCAGGGGAGGCTGAGCTGCCCACTATAGAATGCTGTGGATGACACTGCACCTTTTGTAGCTCTGTAGGGATCAGTTATCCCTTTTAAGGTCCTTTGGTTTTTGTGTCTGAGTTGGAATAAAATCCAGTTTTGCAGCAGCAGGGACTGGATTGGCAGGGCAATCACCTAAATTTGTGCCCTTTAGCTGAGCATTCTGGGAGTGTGGCAGAGGTGCTGACAGGAGACCCTTGCTCTTTCAGGTAACGTTCTCGCAACCCTGAATGGGAGTGTGTTAGACAGTCCTTCTGAGAACCCCAGCACAGCAGCCACTGAGACTGAGGGGCAGAAACTGAAAAATGTCCTGGTGCTGAGTGGAGGAGAAGGGTACATCGATTTCCGGATTGGTGAGCTCCTACTTTTGGGAAGGGGTGAGGTGGGAATGGTTGTGGGTAATACATGGACCAATGGGATTAGAGATGAAACTGTGTTGTTACGTAGTGAGTTCAGAAGATGATTTCCACTTGTCATGTCTCCTGCTTTAGAGGAAGCACTTGGGCATTTTCCTCTACTCTTACCCACACTTTTCCAGGGCATGTGGTTGGCTTGACCCCATCTGTCCCAACTGGCTGTCTCTACCCCTGTCCCCAGATCAATCCCCATAGACAGTCATCAGAAAAATACTTCAGCATTTTCTACTAACAGCCCAAGTGCTGCAGCCTTTGAACTGTTGTGTTTTGGAGCATACCTGTTGTTGTAAGGATGGGCTCCTCCAGGAGAGTGGGGGGACTGGTCAGTACATGAAATCAGAGATATTGGAGGGCCATGTTTTTGTCTCTTTATGAAGATCTGTTTTTTCCCCTCCTAACCAGTCTTTCTGTGTACAAGTGTCCCATCATTACACCTGTCCTCGGGCAGTGAAAGAAGAGCTCAGTTAATGGTGCCCTTGATTTTTTCTAAGTAACATGAGCCTTTTGTGAGGGGCAATAATGCTTTGGATCTCCCTTCCCGCTCATCTTTACTGTTTGTATTCTCTCTGCAGGGGATGGAGAAGATGATGAGACAGAGGAGAATGCTGAAGATACTGCCCAAGTGAAGCCAGTGCTTTCCAAGGCTGAGAGGAGCCATATTATCGTCTGGCAAGTCTCATACATCCCTGAATGAGATTCTCTCTTTTCCTGACAACATATCTCTCCCTCCTCCCGTCTGAATGCCAAGATGTACATACAGAACACCTGCATTACACCTACTACTGGAAACTGAACCCCAGACAACTGCAACAGCTCCTGCATCGGATGGTGACCCCCATTCTAACCTCTGAACTTGTAGCTTTCATTTTGGGCCCGTGTGCTTTGAGTGGTTGGATTACTGTTCTCCTTCTGAAGCTGGTGTCTACAAGGGGGGAAAAAAGACAGAGAATCTTCAGAGTGAAGCCCGGAGTTGGGAATTGTGCAAATAACTCTCTCCACGAAGTATGAGACAGAAGCCTGTCTTGGAAGGTTTAGCCCAGGTTGTCAGGAAGGTTGCCTCACTGCCACCTGCATGAGAAGCCGTGCATCACCCTCATGTCCTCCAATGAAACGAGGCTAATGAATCACAACAGCCCAAAGAAAATCTTTATCCAGTTCACCAGGTGGAATTCTCATCCCATCCCCTCTGCATAGATTGTCCCCAAGCACTGAATCTTATCCCAGGATCTGAGAGCAGGCAGCACCAGGTTAAACCAGAAGTCTACAGAGAAGAGAGAACAGAGGTTTCAGGAAGCACTTCAGCTATTTGGCAATAGCGGGCCAACGGTCTCATGAAAAGGGGTAGAGTGTGGAACACATGCTAAAAACAGAAAGCCCTCCCTACTCTGCAATTATTTTTTGGCCAGTTGGTAACATTAAGTAGTGCTGAGTGAGCGTGAAATCAGGGAGGACTGTTTGCTTGGTAGAGTCAGAGGCAAAAAAGGGTGTTTGGTGTCAGGCCAGAGAGTGCTTGGACACTGCTGCCATGAAAGTTTGCTGGGATCTGGTTGATTAGCAGAAGGAAAAGCCAGCACTATTTTGTCTATGTGGTATTTTTGGAAGGGGAGGTAAAAAATGCTTTGTTTCATTATTTTTACAAGCCTTAAAAATTTCAAGAGACAAGCTGTTATTTAGTGATAGTTGGTTTTAAAGAGTAGCCGGTGACATGGCTTCTGTGTTAACCCAGCAAGGTTTTATTGACTCATGAAGATGCATTCCCATCCTGGTGCTGATTTTCTGCAGGGAGAAATGCTCTCCTCTCAAAACAGAAGAGTGCTGGGGAAAAGAAAAGGCAGGATGTTGATTTTGTCTCACTTTCTCCCAATACGTAACAGCAACCCAGTGAGAATGCAAGTTCAGGTGTGTGTATCCTAAGCCATGGCACTCAGATAGGAGGGCGCTTTGGGGTTAGCACATCGCTACGGCGGGATTTGTGTTTCATGGCTGTTCTCCTGCAGTTAAATCAGTCTATAAAAAGCTGGAAAGGGGACCTTAGCTCCATCCTATGCACATATCTCAAGTTTTTTTACCTCACTCCTGCTTCTGACCCATTGGTTAAAAGCCCTGATGCCACAGTTTGCCTCCTGGCTCCTCACTGTTCTGGCCTTTTAAATCCTTGAGCACATGTGCACTGCCTCACTTGCTGGTTTTCTGGCTCAGTCAGTGTCTTTGTACTCTAGGATCCCAGATGACCTAGTGTACCCATGTCTATCTGCAGAACTTATCTCCCCCGTTACTGTAATATCTGAGTGCCTCACAATATGTAATGGATTTATCCCTCACATCAACCCTGTGAGGGAGGGAAGGGTTTTGCAGGTAGGGATCTGAAGAACAGAAAGACTGACTTGCTCAAGGTCACACAGAAAGTCTGTGGCAGAGCTGGTCTTCTGAATCCCTAGCTAGTGTCAACTCCCCTATGTGGATGCTGCTGGTATGAACTAAAGGGTTCCTAGTTGCATTAATGTAATCCTATTTGAGGACTATTCATTAATGTGAACTTTTACTTCACAACTGCAGCATCCACACAGGGGAGTTAGTGCACTGCTATTGATACCCCCATAGTCCAAAATGCAGGGCAGTGAAGACAAATCCCTACTTTCTCTTTAGCAGTAGCAATGCTGCCATTGCTTTCGGGGTTTGGATTGTGCATGCGCAGCTGAGAGATAAATATTAGCCACACATCAGAGTGCTGGAAAGGCAACAGCACGTATCTAGAGAACAGAGGCCCCAACAGCCTATTTAGGGGGAGACAGAGGCTTGGCGGTGCATTGCATTGGCTACGATCAGTGTTACATTACATAGGCACTCGTACTACTCTCTGAAGACAGAGGTCAGGAGAGGATTTGAATCAAGTCCTCCAGCTGTGTACCTCTGTAAAGGGATTCCAGAGACCGTGTGACATTTCTGAATGAGTCAGGCTTTCATTCTGCTGTGGCATATTCCAGAATTGCTTTCTGGTAAGATAAGTCACTTAGGGCTTTAGACAGCAAATAATTCACAACTTTTGTTAATTAGTGTAAATTAAATTTCAGTATTTGAGCTGATTTTTAAAAAAATTTAATTGACTCCAATTATTTAGTTTAATGAAATATGCCATGTGATAATTATGAAACATGGTGTGAGATTTTTACCTGTTACAGTTTATGTTCTATATCTGTTTTATCAAAGTGACAGTACTTGGTCCTCTGTCTCCCACTGAAATTTCATGGCTACTTAAGAAAATAGGTTCCAGACCTCCTTATCTCAGCAGGTTCATTTGCAGTTTGAAGCAGATTTTCTTTCAAGAGAAGCACACTTTCAAAAAGGGGCCAGTGACAGCTAAGTGAAGAGCCACTGCTGTCATGTTCCTATCATCCTCATTCAGTGACTACAGAGCAGCAAGGTGAAAGCTGATTGGCTTAAATACACTTCCCTATCATATCTCCACTGTGATGTATGTAAAGTACCTTGTATGTTATAAAAGGATTTTAAAAAGTGTCTTAAGGCCTGTAAACTCCGCTGTTTGGTCGGAAGATGGCATTCTGTAAAGAGACTGCTGTATGAATACTTTCCCATGCTTTGTCCCTTATGCTATCAAACAAGTGAACCATATCTGTTCTGTATGTAATAAATGTGTTAACATCAGCAATGGAAACGTGTATTCATTGCGTGTACAGATACTGGGATTTCTGATCAGTCTGTGACAATGGGTTGATTATTGTAATAGTTGCTCAGGCAGTATCTCAAATTCTCAAACTTTAACATTATACTACATGTCATTCAATGAGTCATATTGCAGGATGCTAGTTTTGCAATCCCCACAACTTCAGAGCTGGTGCTCTGCAGCAGTAGCTTCCTTGCAATTTCATAAGTGCTGTGCCAAAGGTGTGGAACACGCAGCTGTTTTTGTGCAAGTTTCAGCACATAGAGTGATTCAAACCACAAACGTTGTCGTGAGGAGACACAGTGACAGAGGGGCCTGACACTTAACAATTGTTAACTTTAAATGGATTACATGTTAATGGAATTCTCTTCCCATATGGGAAGAGTCTTGGCAAAAATCAACTGTCTATGCAGGCACTCTTCCATGAAGCTGGGTGCATCGTGCTTGCTTGTTCAGTTGTTTGAAAAGACACTTATTTGTCTAAGTTAATAGCTCCATCCTGAAATCTGAGGGACTTGGGTGCCCTAATGGAGAAAAAGGCAATAAAATAGGAAACTAGATAAAAGTCCTGTGAACAAGGCTATGAATACATGATTTGCCAACTATACAGTATCAGCCATTAAAATTAATGGCATCAAATGCTCCCTTGTAATTAGCCTGCTAAATAACTTGTGTCTTTACAAATGGTGGCTACTTCATTATAAGCAGTGTCTTGGGTCTTGTGACAAAATGGACAATGTTGGTATGGTGGGTCCCGTGCTTTCCTTGGCTGGGTGGGGGCTGGGACACTACCCCTTGCCCCTGCTCTTGGGGCACCGAGAGTCCTGCTAGTGGCCTGGGAAGGTGGTAGAGGAGGGAAGCAGGGAAAAGGTCTGGGTTTGCACCTCACTCTGAGCCCTAGCCCCTCTCAACCCCTGCGGGTTTCTTACCCTCTTCCCCCTTGGGTAGGGTTACCCTCGGTCCTTGATGCTGGAGCAGGGTCTCCTTTCCTCTGGTCTTTCATTTCTTAACAACACACTTCCAAACTCCAGTCCTCTCTCCTTCCTCGCTCCACACTGTCTACTTAAAGCAGGGGGGTTTTATTAGGTTCCTGACAGGGCCTTAATTAGTCTCGGGCTTCTATATCTCCCCTCTACCAGTCTCCCACTTTTCCCTGGCCCTGCTGTATCACAGTCTCTAGAGCATGAAAGCAAAATACCAACTGCCAGCACATATCAGTGTCACGGTAATGGTCCTCACTTGGGGTCTGGTTGGGGAGGATGGCCTAGTGGTCATGGCCCCCTGAGTGCCAAGGGGATTGTGGGGAGGAGAGCCCAGGCCCTCCCACTCCACCGGGCTCCCACCCAGGGCCCTTTGGGCTACCAGTAGTCTGGCAACCAAGGCTGCCCTCCCTGGGCCTCTTCCTCTTGTTCCCACCCTGCAGTCAGCTTAGTCCAAGGCTTTCCCCTGGTGGGGAAGTCCAAATCAAAATAAATCGAGGGGGATTTCCAAGGTCCACAGGATCCTTCCCTCTCTGGTTGTCTCTGAAGTGGATCCTCCCTTCCCTTAGAGACGGTCCCTTTGGGCAACTGTGTCAGAGTCAGTTAGGCTTCCCTCTGCTGTGTGATGCTGGAGCTGTGGATTGTAGGTCTGTTCACCTCCAGCTCTGCCCCCAAATGAGCTAATTGCCTGCCTTTTAATTCTTCCAGCAGCTGGAGCATTTGCTGGAGGTGTGGCAAAGCGGGGATTGCTGAGCCCAAAATAATCCATTAATCCCTTGTTGCCCAGTGTGGGGTTTGTACACCCCATCACATGAAAGAAAATGTAAGACACTCAGCACATGGAGCTTTAAGATTGAGTTAAGTATAACAATCAAATCAGTTCCCTGAACTCCCCCATTCTGAGCTTAACCCCTCCTCACCCCAGCAGTTTGAATAAGCTCCCTAGCCAGCCACAGTCCTCCCAGTTGTGTACAGCTTTGTCCCTCTGGTGAAATAACTAAGGAAAGGGCAGGATGTTTTCAAATTTTATTACAAAAAAAGCAAATGGACAACCATTATAAAAAACAGTTATATATTTATAGATGTAAACGATGAGAGCTGCAGCTGAAGGGGCTAGAGATAAGCAGCATGCTTTAACCCAGCAGCATAGTGCCATATAGGTGCCGTGGAAAGGATCTTTGTTCACCAGTCAGTGCTTCAAAACAGCTTTGTTTATCTTAAAATGGTCATTGGTAATATGCCCTCACACAACCCCTTTGCACTGGCATTGCAGTCAGCATGCCAGCTAGAGAGCCTGGTTGAGTTTATTGCCTCCACTCACATGGTGTGGGATGCATTCCCAACAGCTGTGGAACTAACTGCTGACTGAATACACAGGTTTTTATGAATGGAGGAAAACAAATTAAAAGAAAGAGCACATCCCATCAGCTGGTGTGCTTGTACTGAAAGGGCTGCCAAGCCTGTCTCAAAAGATGAGGCTGTGTTATACACATTTTTCCCACCCCAGACAGCAACAATTTGCGTGAGGAAATGAAGGGGTGATTGGCAGTGACTGAAAGATGGTCTGAAACTAGGTCTCAGTCCTAGTTTGCACTACCTGCTGCCTAGCTTAGCAGAATTTTGTGAGGTACTAGCCCCATTGTCAAGTAGTGTTTTCATTTCATTGAGCTCTGAAAGTCAAGGCCAGAATTGGCAAGGAAACAGTCTCCCTCCAAAAAGAAAAGGAGTACTTGTGGCACCTTAGAGACTAACAAATGCCACAAGTACTCCTTTTCTTTTTGCGAATACAGACTAACATGGCTCCTACTCTGAAACCAGTCTCCCTCCAAGTATATCCCTCGCATTTTCAAAGCACATTCAAGTCAGTTAACGCAATGATAGGCAAAGTGAGGCCTATCAAGTTTCTCATCCCCAGTGGCTGCCCTTGTCTTTAACACGGTGAAGAGGACTATAGTGGGGTGGCTACCCCACTCCTATCCTAGATGGGGCTTCAGCAGGCCAGGGAGGCAGTGCAGGTGGGCAGCCAATCAGAGAAGGCTCACTAGAGAGCCAATCAGAGGCTGCATTAGAGACAGCCAATCAGAGGCTGTGTTAGAGACAGCCAATCAGAGCCAGACTCAACCATATATAAAGGCTGCCCAGGAAGGGAGCAGGGAGTCTCTCCCTGGTGATCAAGGGAGGAGGACTGGTTCCTCTGCTGGAAGGTAGTACCTTGGACAGAGTAGTGCTAGGGAGCTCTGGCCAAGGAAAACCCCAGGCTGCTGGCCTACGCCAGGCAGGTGTAGAGGGCCAAAGGGAAAGTGGCCCAGGGACAATAGCAGGGCAAGGGGAGAGAAGGAGGGCAGAGAGGCTCCTGCTAGAGGGTCCCTGGGTCGGAACCCAGAGTAGCAGGTGGGCCTGGGTCCCCCCCTTCCCCTTGTGCTACACCAGGCTGAAGAGGAGCATGACCCGATCCAGGCTGTGGCTAGCCCCTGCGATAAGGGGCTAGACTTAGAGGCTGCAGCCAGCCACTACAACCGGTGCAGATCGTGGGCTGCTGATAACACCAAACCCCCGGAAGGGGGTGAGACTGAAGCAGTGGGCAGTGCCGGAGGGCAGCGTCCTGAAGAGGACGCTGCCAAGCGGGGAACAACGAGGGTCCCCAAAGCAGCAGAGCAGACAAGGGGCAAGGCACCACGTGAAAAAGGTGCTCCATGACTGGACAGAGCTAATTCCCGGAGCAACCAGCGGGAGGTGCCAGTGGTGGTGAGTCCTAACCCCGTCAGAAGTGGTGGAGAATGCGGGCATCGACCAGGGCCTGCTAGAAGGACCCCTATGTTGGAGATGGACAAGCTCCTAAAATGGCTCCTGGAAAACCAGCAGCAAAAAGCTGTACAACAGCAGACACAGCTGTTGCAGCAACTGGCGGCGCAGCAGCAACTGCAGGCAGCACAGCAACAAGAATCCCAGCAACAGCTGGTTCGGGAGTTAGCTGCCCAGCACCAAGCAAGTCAAGATCGACTCTTTCAACAGGTGGCGACCTTGTTGAAAACAGCAGCCAGTCCTCCCCCCTCCCTCACCAACCCAGCTAGAGGCGGGCCAGGGAAGGGCTGCGGGGGACTACCGGTGCGGCTGATGAAGATTGTTAGGATATAGATATTCAGGCCTGACTGTAGAGGCCTATACTCTAAGAATTTAGGTGTATTCTTATCACTTGGCTAGTGATAGAGGTATAAAAGAATCAAAATCACTGTCTGCTGGTGTAAGGGCCTTCTCTTACTGTGACAGTCTGAGGCCCTGTTCTTAGGCTAAGGCCTTTGGCTAAGCAGCAGAGGCAGCCATAAGCTGGGAAGCAAACAGTCACATCCTCACATTCCAAACTAGTCACACTGAAATAAGGTGCTATTCGGCTGTTAGGAATACAATCCTGGCCTGATAGTTCCTATCACCTCCAGAGAAAGGGAAGTGCCTAGAAAATGTAAAAGGAAACTTAGTTTGATAGCATCCTGTCTGGCAAGAACTCACTTATCAATAGCTGGGATGTGAAATCCTCGCTTCTGTGTTGTCTTGTCATTGTAGTTCCCACTTTGCTATTGTTTGTCTGTATAATCTCTGTCTGGTTCTGTGATTGTTCCTGTCTGCTGTATAATTAATTTTGCTGGGTGTAAACTAATTAAGGTGGTGGGATATAATTGGACAATATGTTAGGATTGGTTAGTTAAATTTCAGGAAAATGATTGGTTAAGGTATAGCTAAGCAGAACTCAAGTTTTACTACATAATCTGTAGTCAATGAGGAAGTGAGTGGGTGTGCGTGGGAGTGGGCATGGGCATGTGGGTAAGAAAACTGGAATCATGTTTTGCTAAAGGGGGAAATGGGAACAGGGAATGGGAGTAAGGAAGTTGGAATCATGTTTGGCTAAGGGTAGGAATGGGAACAGGGACACAGGCGTAAGGCTCTGTGGTGTCAGAGCTGGGAAGGAGGATACTAAGGAAGGAAACTGGAATCATGCTTGCTGGAAG